GCATAGCGCCGCAGGTGTGAAATCCGGGCCGGGATTCTCTTACAGTCTGTGATCAACTCACTTGCAGCTGATTATTAGACTTAACAAGTGTTAAACACCCATCAGCTGTGACCTTTAAAGGAGAATTGAATTTTGCAACGAAAAGAGAACTGGAATTTGAATTTATACTGTCTGTAAGTGAGCTGTGGCCTGAATCTTTATTTTGGTGGTAAGCGGCCCAGCTGCCCAACCTTAGTCTGAAAGCTTATTGCTTAGTACTTGCGCGATGCAGCAACAATTTTATTTTTGTTTAAAATTGATCAATGTCTGGACAATACTGTGGCGGAACACGCAGAATTAAGTAAAACATGTATAAAACACAAATATAGGTAAACGTATTACCGGGCCTTAGAATGGCCGGATTTAATGTAAAAAGAATAGTCAGTAACAAGCTCAGTAACACAGACAGATGCAAAAACTAATAGACAAAGCCAAGAGTTCAAGGATACGAGAACTAGCGATAGTAAGGAACAAGCCAAGGTCAATATACCAAAAGAATAACTATAAGAACGAGCTCTCAGATAACCAGCAAGTGGAAATCACGACAGGGCACTGAAAACTGGCACATATGGGTTTAAATAACCATAAAACACTTTTGATTGATTGGAATAGGCCCTTTGACCCCAGGAACGTGCGCGCATGTCAATGACATGATGATTCACACACGTATGCATCAATCATGACTTGGTCAGAGGCAGAGTTATATCGTTTTGCAGAACTGCACCAACTGGTGTCCTTATGGTTGATGTAGTGGCCACCCACTGCCTGGATAAAGGTAAGTCCCTCTCCCTCCTTTCCATGTGACCGCACCGATTGGGTGAAGTCACACGGCAGTGCTGAAAGGGCGCCGTTACAATCCTAGGACATTCTATTAACCCCTTAAGGACCAAATTTCTGGAATAAAAGGGAATCATGACATGTCACACATGTCATGTGTCCTTAAGGGGTTAAAGGCAAATACTTTTGGCATTATATACCATATTATATATATATATATACACATAAAATAGGTTCCTCTCACATGAACATGCATGCTTCATAAAGGCGTTGCTGACCAATATATACAACATATAAAATTCCATTTCAATTTAACTTTAATATCCACAAAGTTTTTAAAAACAATTAGGTAAACATTATCAGAATTTTATATCTATATATATGATCACAATTAGCATAAGCCTGCTACAATGCTAATATACCCCATGTTTATAACACATCACATTAAAGCCAAACAAATAGCAAACATGCCAAAATTACATGATGTCAGAATAAACACACCTAGTTCTTGAAGGTTGGAATTTGTCAATAGACGTGGAAGACTCGGCGAATGTAGAAAAAAAATAAATCTCCTCTAATTGGACCACATTACAAATCTGCCAAAGAGTGGGCCCCTTACTGTACTGCACGACGCCTCTCTTTTTCAATGCCAGCACTGGGAGTATGTGATGTTATATCACATCCTCCCTGCACATGTTACGAAGGACATTCAAGCGTTCACATGGAGTTTTAATTTTGCTACAGCCACACTCCCACTAGATCTCCGGGAAGCTATCCTCCTGTAGCAGAAAATGAGCTAAATAGAAGGAAGGCTAAAATTAGTATGGGTGGTATATATTTAATATGTGTACACCGGAGAATAGCATACCATGCTGAAGTTGTGTTAGCATCATGTTGCTGGGATGCTTTTCAGACACTGGAACCCAGTGTTGAGGCCAATGCGGATTAAGGGCAAGGTGGACGGACAGCTAGAGTTAAATACAGGGCAATTAGAGTGGAAAACTTGCTTTAGTCTACAAGACACCTGAGACGGGGGCAGAGGTTGACCTCAAGCAGGATGCTGGCTCTGAATACACTGCCAGTTATGCTTTGGATTGGTTTAAAACCAGCACCTGAATATTTTAGAATGGTCAAATCAAACCCATATGTCAATTCGATTAATAATCTGTGGGAAAATGTGAAAATTGATGTTCACCGGTGGTCCTCATCGCAACCTGACCGTTTGAAATGGGCAAAACATGCAGGATTCAGATGTGCAAAACTGGAAGAGACTTGCCCCACATGTCGCACAACCAACTGCAGCCAAAAGTGGCTTAACCAAGTATTGAGTTATACTTTTGCAACCACCGAATGCTGTTTATTTATTTTTTCTTCTTCTTTTTTGCTTCTTAATTTGAAAAAAGAAAAAAAAAGAATTTGCCCTCTTATGCTCCATTAGCTTATTATATACTTTCATAAGACACCTCTATGACAGTAAGGTCCTGAGCTCTGGACCATATAAATGGCATGCTCATCCCAAACACTTAACCTGAGGATATGCGGACGGCTATAATGAAATTGTGTAAACACCTACTGTCAAAGGCACAGCAAGGTCATGAGGCGCCTACGGGCAACTCCTTAATTTGTCACCAAACCAGTTCCATGCCATGCCAGACTGCATGCACTTTGCCAAGGAGTTTTTTTTATTAACAATAATGATAAAAAAATGTCTAGGAACCCATCAGTTTAAAAACAGCTCTGCTACCGCAAACTTGTCTTTCTTCATTCATTTCCTCTTCTCTTCCTCTCTCTGAATCCGTTCTTCTTTTCTTCCTTTAAGATCTTTGTCTCTTAACATACATACAGACATAATGCATTTTTGCTCCACTTGTGCCCAAAAAAGGCAAGTTTCACCTACTTTGTCGAGTCCCATTTTCCCACAATAGTCACCTGCCCATTGTTTATATACTTTTGTGATCCAGGACGAACCAAATCCATCACAATTCACCTTTTACAGGTGAATACAGGGTTATTCACTAAGGTGAGAATTGTCAGAAATTCTAAATTAATTTCAAATTTAAAGTTTCAATATCCAAAGTAGACAAGAGAGACAGGGCTGGGTATTGTTTGTGCTGATTGTAATGTTGCGTATGTGATGGTAGGCGGCCTGTGGTGTTTGTGTGTGTATGTAGGCTGCTTGTAATATTTTGTCTGTCTGGATGCGTGTACATGGGAATTCTCCCGATTGTATTGCGTATTTGTGGGTTTGTTGGTTTTTATGTTGCATGTTTGAAAGAACACTGTATGTGCAGTTGCGTATGTGGGGGTAAGCTGTCTGTAGTGTTGTGTCTGTTGGCATGCTGCTTGTGTTATTGTGTGTTTGGCAAGATGCTTTTTGTGGTGTTGCATGTCCGTGGGGATGCTGCTTGTTGTATTGTGTGGAAGGAGGCTTTTGTATTCTTTTTTATGCATGCTTCTTGTGAGGTTGTGTGTGTACGGGGACATTGCTTGTGGTGTTGTGCGTGTGTCCAAGGGGCTGTTTATGATGTAGTGTGTTTGGAGGGGCAGGGGTTGTAGTCTGTGTGTGGATAGGAGGTTGTAGTGTTTTTTGTGGAGGAGAATAAGGACTGGTGTGTGGAGTGTTTGTGAACTGGCTGGGGCTGTAGTGTATGTTTGTGTGGGTATTAGGGCAGTAGTGTGAGTGAGGGCAAAATAAGAGATGTAGTAATGGAGAAATGGGCTGTAGTATAGAGGGTGTTAGGGCCTGTAGTGTACAGGGGAACAGGGGCGGTAGCTGCAGTGAATGTGGAGGCAAAATAGGGACTATAGCATAGGAAAAGGGAGCGTTGGTGTAGGGGATGAGCAGCATTCTATTTGGTGATCCACGCACTTGGTTGGTGCAACCAGACAGAGAGAGAAATTGTGGTCACTGACAGGCTACGGGTTAATAGGAGCAGCAGCAAGAGGTAACTTTCTGCTGAAGAAAAAGATAAGTTATCTTTAAATTGTTTTTTTTTTTCTTTCCATTTCCCGGGCATTGAGAGGGTTGAAGGAACACACCAATTATTAAAACAGAAGGTAATTTTTTTTAATGTTGCTGTTTTCCTTTAAGGATAAAATCAGGCAGGGTTATTCACCAATGCGCGAGTTGCTGCAAAGCAAAACTTTATATAAAATTTTAGGCCAATAAAGTCGAACTTAAAGCAGCTTTCTAGGATAAACGGAATTTCACTTTTGCTATTTTGACCCAAAAGTTGACATTCTTGTTTATTTACACTTTGGCCTGAGCAAACTAAAATCCAAATGACGAAATTTAGGCTAAAAATCACCGACTTGAACAAAAATGATCCAACTGTACATTAATTAATGTTTTATTACGGCCTAAATATTACGTATTGAATATCAATTCGCTAACGTATGATGTCTAGTGAATAATTCTGTTTAGTTTATTTTTTTTTTTTAATTTTGCCACAAATTACAAGTAATTACTGACTATTTATGATAGGTGTTTAAAGACTTTGAGTCTGTTTATTATGTTCTTGTGCGGCTTTTTAACCTATAAAAGGCTGCTAGCAGGGGGTTTCTCAGCTCGGCCAGTGAATGCCAAGTTTGAATGAAATTTCTCCGCCCCACCATTTTGTCCATGAGCTCAAAGAGGGACAACATGGCTACACACATATATATATATATATATAATTAAAATAAAATGACATATATGTCTATAAAAGCAGCTCTCCCTGTTCCCGAGGGAGGCTTGGCGTGTCACTCCAGACAGCCATTGACTTATTACTGGGAGCCCCAAACTTTAGGCTTTTTTTTTTTTTTTTAAAGAACTGCAGCTCATGTTCAGAATGGCTGTAAGTAGCCGGAGCGAATTCTGGGAGTCGTAGTCCTGACGCCGTGTCAGGGCAACGGCCGCGACCGTCAAAGAGACTACACGCCCCGGCATGCTCTGCGGGTCGTTGAAGCCCTCCCTGAGGGGGAGCCGGCCCTAGTTGAATTAGCACCGTTGCCGTTCAGCTCGAGCTCCGCCATTAAAGCCGGCGAAGTGCTAGGGCCGGGAGGCATTTTTACAGCCGACACTCGGAGCCCGCAGAGTAATCGGACACATCTCCTCAAACTATCCAAGGGAAGCTGGAGGAGGGCAGAGGCGAGCGGCACGGGGGTGGCGCCGGGAAATGTAGTCCGCCGCGCGCTCGCCCCACCATTGCGCGCCGCGCAGCGTGCTGGGAGGCCGAACTACACTTCCCGCGATCCCCCGCGCGCCGCCAGCCGCTGAGAGACTGGGGCGTAGTAGTAAGAGCTGCTGAAGAAGAAGGCGATTAAGATGGCGGCCAGAGCCGCGCAGGGGCTATCTCCCAGCACCAGGCTGCTCTGAGGGGAGAGCGCTCGCCCACACACTGCCCGCCCGGGGTGGATGTCCAGCAGCCGCTGCCCTCCTCCACCTTGCCCCAGTCACCCCGCACTCCCCGCCCGGCCCGCCTCGCCCCGCTCCGGCCCTCGCTGCCCTCCCCGGCCCGGCACAATGGGGGTGCAGGGGTTCCAGGAGTTCCTGGAGAAGCGATGCCCGGGGGCCGTGGTGCCCGTCGACCTGTTGAAGCTGGCCCGGACCGTAGCCCGCCAGCAGCACCGAGCGGGCCTGTCACCCGGCGGCTACCCTGCGGCCCCACCGCCGCCTCCCCCCCAGCCCCCCTCCCCGGCGGCTCCCCCTCCCTGCCGGGTGCTGGTGGACGCGGACTCGGCCCTGCAGCGGCTGTACGGGGGCTACCAGACGGACTGGGTGTGCGGGGGCCAGTGGAACGCCATGCTGGGCTACCTGGCGGCGCTGTCACAGGCCTGTCTGTACCAGGGCGGCCTGGAACTGGTGGGCATGTTCAACGGTACCCTGGCCAAGGAGAGGCTGCCGGAGTGGGCCCGGCGGGCTCAGGGGGAGAGGCAGACGGCCCAGCTCATTGTCAGCCACGTCGGGAACAAGGGCACCCCGCCCCCCAGGGCCTGGTTCCTGCCTCCGGCCTGCCTGGCTCACTGCATCCGCCTGGCAATGATCCGGTTCCGTGTGAAGGTAACCAGGACTGTGCAGTGTGGCCCCCCAACCATCACCACTTCTCTCTCTAGGCAGCTGCCTTGCAAAACCTTGTGTGCCAGGGCTGGCTAAACCATGGGCACTCCAGCTATGGCTGGGTGGCAGAGAGCATCATGGGAAACGTAGTCTGCCACAGCTGGAGTGCCACAGGTTGGCCATCACTTCTGTGTAACTTTCTGATAAAGAATAGATTCTATAGAACGTTGAAGTAAATCAGATTATTTCCCCCCTCTGCCACACCCCCTTTTGTGCACATGCAGACCCCAATGTGTGCTTCTGTTGTATGCATGCCTTGCATGATCCTCATTAGGACTCAGTGATTAAAAAACATAAAGGCACATGGGCAATGCAGGCAAGTTATGAGGTTAAAGATGAATTATCTTCATTTTTAAAATTCAGATACACAACACATTGTAACAATAGTGCAATAGATAACCTAAATGAGCATTCATTCAGTCATGGGGTTTTTAGTCTGTTGTATCCTTTGTTTTCTGTCTTTAGCAAAGCAACATTGAAAACTTGCTCTCTCATGCTCTCCTGCTATTAAATGCATTGACCCTGTTTCTTTCTCTGAAGTGGTGGCTGTAAGGGGGTGGAGGGTTGTTAGGCAAATCATTCTTGGTGTAATAAAGGGAATGAGTTAGGCAAATTATCCTTGGTTTGTTAACCAATTCTGCTAGTCAAATAATTCACTAGGTTTCTTATGGAAGCAAATGCTGTTTCAAATCAATCAGTTTGGAGAATGCATTTAATCTGTACAGAAAACATAAGAAGAAGAGGTCTTGAAAATGACACTTTGTATAAAGCAGTGTTTTAGCAGTTCTTAATCACCATTTTGTTTTATGGTCCAAACTATCTTGGGGATATGGTGGTAGACCAGTAACTGGCAGGTGTGATCTATTTTTTTTTTTTTTTTTAAATAGATTTTATAGAGGGTAAAATGAACACAGGCCCTTGCAGCTCTCATAATCCTCCATAATTACCACACTAGTCTGCTTCTTCATGCTATACCTCTTGATACCTTAGCAACAGAGAGGTGTGCATGCTTTATGTACCATAGTTGAGTTGTAGCGTAGGCGTACCAAACAGAACATGAAGATTTCAAACTGGTAGTAAAATAGCACTCCTCATGGTGCCTATATTCCTGTGGAAGTGAACTGTACACTGCTGATTATATTTGAGGTTATTACTCATGGTTTAGTGGGCCTGCTCTTGCTCAAAAAGCAAACCTGTTGTATCCAACGTGCAGTGTGTATTCAGTAGAACTATTACCCTAATTTACAAAATAACTGCATAGTAGTAGTATGTTTTTACAAGATGACCTCTACATTGCCGTACACATCTTCCTTTAGGCCACAATAAACTAACTCATCATGAATATTTTACAAGAAGCTTATTGTATTACTGTAATGCTTTTTTCAGAAACAAATCATGCCGAATCTTTAGTAACGCTGTTTCTCAATTGGGATTTTTACAATTTAGGTTTTAGTGTGCTTAATGCATTCTTTAAAATAAGGGGGGGGATTTAAATATATATTGCAATGTTTAGCAGATAATCCACAGTACATAAAAATGGCACTCTTAGGACTTCATCTCTTGTGAAAAAAACTCATAGTCCCCAGGGGGGAGGAGGGTTGGTGTGTATATGTATTTATATAAAATTTTATTCTACACATCGTCCTGCACGATAATAAAAATAAAAAAAACTTGCCAACATGTTTCTGTAGAAGTGGAAATAAAAAGCTGTGATAGGAAAGCCTTATGCTACTGTATTAGTTCCACTAGTCTGCAGGCTGTATTTTCATACTGGAAGGTAAAAGTTGTAAATCACACTTTATCAGCTCTTTTTAGAAAGCCATATCCTGCCAGTTGGCTGTTGATGTCTCTAGATCAAATTTATTCCATTACTGTAAAATGGTAAAGGTACACATTCGATGAGTGACTTCCCCTTTAACAAAAGTTAACATTTTAATAGCTTCCCCTCCTCCCCCAAAGAATGGTCTTATAGTGTGATCAGTTTTAGTTAACTGTGTGATATAATGCTTAGGTCACTGAAGTATACAAGCACAAATCATGTAATTCTGTACAAATACAGCTGTCATTTAGCTTAATCCAATGGAAAATCTTAGTCTAACTTTTTTTTCTTTTCCCCTCATCCATATTAAGGGCACTTGTGCCCTGATGTAGTGGTTATGGTGCCAACATTCTCTTGGTGACTGGAGTTTCTTGTTTAGCACTCTCCCAATTAGATGGCTCCAAATGAACATATAACATGGACTATCGTAATATTACAAGTGAGGGGCAGGAAAGGCAAAGCCAGGGTTATACTGACATAACCACTATTACAGGTCTTTTTTTATTTAAAAAAAAATATATATATTCTCTCCGTTGGCTTTTATACACTATTGCATAGCCCGATTAGCTGTTCTTGAGCTGCCTTGATATCAAAGTATAGGGTTAAGATTACTATTAGTGTTAGGGCTATTATTAGAATTAGTTAAATTGGCACTGTAACTTAATGTAATTGAAGTTGGTATGGTGTCTGAAGTCCCTTGGCACCATCCTTCATACAGTAATGCGAAGCAAGAGTCCCCAGAATCCCAATACCGCTGCTGCGGCTTATGAGGAAGCTTTAGTCTAAGCATGTCCGCTGACCTCTCTCAGCCTAACACAGCACCCATTGGTGGTATGGCTGGAAGGAAGTTGTAAGCTCTGCCTTAGCCACAATTCCATAAAGGGCTGGACTGTAGGCAGCTAGTGACCCTAATTTAGCATTAAACTGCTTGTAAATTGTTGAAGAACCAGAGTACCCCAGACATTATAACCAATTCAATGAGGTACAATGGTTATAGTGCCTAGAGTGTTCTTGAATTGTTGCACTTAAGGTTAGGATTACATTTATTAAATAATTTACAAAAACTAGATTTGTGTTTTTGTGGAGACTGCTTTGTGTGTGGCATACACTATCACAATTTGATGCAAGTCAGTGACATATAGTCACTGGGACTCTGCATATCAGAATTTATGGCATGTCTATAAATTGCTCTTATAGCACAGGGCTCAAAATATCAGGTTTTTAATGCTACTGGATAGGCCTATAACGTCTCCCCACTGGAAGCCTGGAGGGTCCAACAAACCTGACTTCTACTGTTGTATACAGATTGTGTGGAGTGTTGATGTACACAATGGGGGGTGTGCCAAAGTAGTATGACATGTCACCCATAAAGGGATTGATTTGAAGTGGTCATGGTACCTCGAGTCTGTGCAACATTTCACTTTGAAACATTGTACAAACATAGTGACTGTACATGTTTAGCAAGCCCAAACAAAGTTCTGGGTGGGCTATTGTCAATTATATGAAAAATCAGCACCTGATGCCAACATCAACACAATGCTGGTGCGAGGCAGCCAATGGTGGCATGGCTGTCCCTATCCTCTCATCAGTCGGCCCTTCAGCTAGGAAGTGTGACATCAGGCAAGGAGGATGGGGCTGCAGGGAAAACTTGCACTGCGCTATGGAATGCAGGTGTTTAAAATTTAAAAACAAAAATAAAAAAATTATTTGGGGGAAGATCACATCAGAAAGTATTACTCTAACTAAAACAAGTGTTTTAAGCTGGAATAACCTTTTAATGAAAATGCAACGTCTGGACAAACTTGTCTCTGTTTGGAAACAAAATGGCAAATTCTGGATTAAAAGTTTTTAAAGTATCAGAATGTTAAAATCTACACACACAGTTATATTGCCTAGAGATTTTTTTTCTTTAGCACTTCTACAAATCTCATCCTATGTGACTTCTGAGGTTTGGCTGGACAACAGCCACCACAGGTGCCAAGGTTTATAAATTACATGTGCAGAGGCAGGGGAACACTTTTTAGGGTTAGAATACAGGTTTGTGTTCCTTTTAAGCTTTGGTAAAGCATGAACATTTGTATTATTTTAATTCCGGAGTCAAAGATATCAGGGATTTTGGCCAGAGAGTACACAGATCCAAGATGCTACAGTGTAAGTATTCTCCATCTCCCACCTCAGTGGACCCTAAATGGATGCACTGGAGTTCCTCATGGATATCCATCTAAGCTTTGCAGCCCTAGATATTGATGCTGGTACACCAGCAACATAGGGTTACATTCTGTAGTTAGTATGCAACATTCATTCACTTTTGGCCTTAGACTTGACAGAGCTAAAGAGACTCTCATACTCACCAGCTGGACAACAGCTCTTATTTATTCATTAGTGGTATTTATAAAGTGCCAACAGATTCCGCAGTGCTGTTCAATTGTGGAGGACGTAAAATATACACAGACAAATACAAAAGGTAGAGAGGGCCCTGTCCGTATGCTGAGATCTAGCGATTTCATACAGAGTGCTTAGTTAGCCCGTGAGTTTACAATCTAAAGCATACCGTGGGAATTTGAGACAAGAGGTAGCAGGGGCAATTTGGAAGTGATGGCTAAAAAAGTAAACCGAGAGTTGCAGCTATTAGTAAAATATAGAGGGAATGACAAGGTAATTGAGTGAGAATTGTAAAGCTTTGGAAGAGGTTGTTTGAAGTCAAGCAGTAATAGGGTTTGAGACTGCAAGTTTACAATTACAGGAATCCCACACCGCACTTCAGTTACATGTGGAGGTGCTAGATGAATGGATTCACTGCAAAATCTCAAAGTACGTAACACTGCAAAATCTGTTCACCCCGTGGAACTCCCATGTTTTTCAGAAAGCTATTCATTAAACTGCTCTCCTCCAGATTAGATAAATCTCTTACCTTAGAGCAGTGGCGGATCCAGAGCCTGGTCTCGGGAGGGGCACTTGTAGATTATTTAAAGAAATAATCCAGGCACAATAACCACTACAGCTCCGTGTAGTAGTTATGGTGCCAGTAGTACCAGGATTAGGCAGGCTTTTTAATAATGGTTTTTTTTTTTACATTTAAATTAAATATATTTATGTCCCCCCTCCCTTCTTACCTTTTTTTTTTGAGGAGGAGGGGGGACATTTCTCCATCCCTGGAGGTCCAGTGGGGAATCCCTGGTGGTCCCAGTGGTGGCGAGGTGAACTCTAGCCCGTAGCTCCAGGGCTAGAGTTCACTCTCGCGAGATTTGGAGCCTTGCCATGGTAACCGCGGCAACGCTCCGTGCTTGCGAGAGTAGGACCCGGAGGAGCTGCAAGCTGAGCCACAATTGCCCCCCCGGATCTGCCACTGCCTTAGAGGGGATCTACTCTTTTGCCAAATCTATTAAAGTATGGTTGATTCACAAACTATCGTAGTTATGTTGCTTACAGGAAAGCCATAATTGCGACCAGAAAAGGTAAACGGCATTACATGTTTGAGAATCAATTCATCATGTTCCTTTTGTACGTTTGTGTATCTGCAATTAAATACAAACCTGTATTCCTAGCACTATATTGTCTGACAGCCAATAGAGACAGTCTTAGTTCTGCAATGTAATTATTGTAATTTCCCAGAAACTGCAATAATTAACATTACAGGGTTATTGCACCCAGACCACTTTAATAACTAAAATCCTCTGGGTGACTATAGTGTCCCTTTATTTGGTGATATGATGGTATCACATCATGCTTCAGGAATCCAAAATTACTTGTCAGAGATGATATCTTTACCAGATGCATGGGACAATCTTGAAGGCTCAGCCATCTTCTACAAACTTTACTCCTAAAGCTCCAGATCGATTTGTGGAGTTTTCCCCACAGGACGAGGGACAACAATCCTAGCCACAATCACCAAACCTTTCCAGGCTGTGGATGCCTACCTGAAGTGAATGTCCCCTAGAAGCTTTGCTTTTTATTTTTTCATGTCAATAGATAATTCATCAGATCTTTCTGATCACTCAACAGTTATTCTCTTCTCATTATACTCACGTACTCATACCCTCATTCTACAACTCCCCATTTAAGAGGGTTATTTTTGGTTATTTGTTAATCTTTGCTTTTCTATACTAGGAATCCCCCACCATAAATGTTTGATGAAATTTTTACCTTTCCTTAATGTCCAATACCATGCTTTGTGCCTGTTATGATGAAAATAGTCTGCTCATTCTCTATCCATTGTATTGTTTTTTTTAATTGTCAACCTAGATTGAATTTCAAAATGTTTCTGTAAAGAAATTCTATTTTCTGATTCACATAATAAAAAATTGGGTGTGTTGGGGGAATAAATTAGTGAGGTAAAATGTTGCTCTTGTGCAAGTAAGTTTTTATGTTTCCGATAATGTTGGTCCTCTACGTGAGAAATGGGCGTCAACTAATTAAAAGACCCTGGCATAGACTGGAGGGAATAAGCCATAGTCTATGTGAGGGACCCTAATGGAAAGTGTAAAAACTATTTTAACAGAAGCAGACAGAGAGAACAATTTGTTAGGTACAACTTGAGCATAACATGTATCTGTGGAATAGAGCAATATCAAAAGCAAGCAGATGTCCAGGTAAACTAACTATTGTGTTTTATGGAGATTGGGAATTTGTAAAAGAGGCCCTCCAAACATCATAACTCCCTTCCTCTGTAAAAACCCAGTGGAAAAAAATTAATTTACCTGGAATCCAGAAGCTCAGGTGTCACCGCTGCTCTTGCAAATACTTCTCAAAAAGGAGGGTAGGGATTTAGAAAAATGATAGTTACGGGGGAAGGAAGGCGGGGATGGAGGGGGTAAGTAAATGAGGGAGAGAGATATAAAATTCCACTCGCAAATATGACTCATTGAAGTGGTTTTGGTGCACTGCACAGCAATGCTTTCCTATGGGAGTAGTCCGAATGCGACAGTGGCACTTGCCGTGTCAGTTTTCCCCTGCTGGCAGATGTCAGCGGAGGTGCATCCTGACCCAGCACGAGGGACATCGGCGCTGGAATCAAGAAGGGTTTATATCTCTCTTATGGCCAGGGAGGGAGGCATTATAGGGCTAGGAAAACAACGTTTTTTTCCTAGCGTTATAGTTTCTGTTTAAGTCTGCTACCAGTGTACTGTGTGCGCTGTCGACAGATGTAATGTTTGAACAGAAGGGAGATCATATTTAGATTTGAGTATTTTTACCAGATCATTACACACAATTCTCAAGAAATGCAGTAATTTAACAGTTCCAGTAGACCATTTAATGAGAGCTGAGGCATATGAATAGACATTTTGAGGAACAATTCCAGCTTTATAATTGCTACTGCCCAATGCAGTGGTTATGGTTTCAGGAACGTCCTTGTACTGTCCCATTGTAAGGTGTCAAACTGTTTGTCATTATTTTAGTTTTTTAGTATCTTTTATTTGACATTTTACCTGAGTTCAGCTGAAAATCACAGACCTTCAGTGCTTTGCTCTATAGAGCAATCTAGCCCTTCCTGCTAGAGAACATTGCATGTGCTGTGGGCTCCCAGCTGGAGCAACGTGAGTTGTTAAATCCTACTAAAACACTAACATACTACCGTAAGGAGGTGCCGGGGGTACATAGATGTTATGGTGCTTGAAGTGTTCTTCTAAGAAGACGTAGGTTGTTTGTATAAATATTAAAGCAGTATAAACTTTAATTTTGTTCTCCAGTACCTGAATGGACACTAAGAACCATAATCATTACAGCTGATTGTTGTGGTTATCATGCTAGCAGGTACTGAAGGCTTCTTTCACTTTTCCTAGTTCTATGAGATATTATTTGAACAGCTTGACACCAAAGGAAGGGCCATGCATGGGAAATGTAACTTCCACATTAACAAAGGGAAAGTGTTGGGTCACGGATGCCTGGTGAACCCTTAGTTTGTGTCAAGCTCTCTGACACGTTCACGTAGAAGTAATGGACAATGAAAGTAGTCGGCTAACACAATAACCACTACAACAGGAAGTAGAATTTGTGATGCTTAGTTAATCTTTAGAGGTCTGCAAAACACTTATTTTTATGTAATGTTTTGGGATGTCCTTGCCTAATTCCCTTGTGCTTATGATATTTGGATCAATTAATGGACCTCGATAGAAATCCAAATAAATGTCAGCAATCAGCAAGACTGTCTCTTGGTAATTTATAATGCCATCAAACGTGAACAAGCCAACGCTTCGACACAAAATGTGTCATTCTCAAGCTGTGAGACAGTATTGCTGAGGATTATTTGGATTAATTTGTGTACAGGTACATTTTAAGTGGGAGAACTTCCATCTGAAATTAAAAAAGGAAATCGGAACATACTGTTTTAGAAAACATTAGTTTATGAGTTGGACACATTTCTTTTCAGGATTGATGAGTTTGTTCATGTTGAGAGACAACCTGCATATTTTGTCCAATATTCATACTGCTATGTCTGACAAAACCTGAAATGGAGTAATTTAACAGACCGTTTTAAAAGGATGCCTCACGCTCCATCATAGCTTATGCTCAGTGCATAGGTTATGGTGCCTGGAGGTCACATGACACCCCACACACAGTTGCTTTTAAAAAAATTTATTTTTCCTTGTGCACAATATTACAGACAAGCTTGTAGCGCCACGACAGCGAGTACAAGCTATTCAGTGGCATACAATATCATGGCAGAGTTATCAGCACATTTAATTTTTGTGAAAGGTAATAGGCTTGTGATAATTGAGTGGAACTTTTGTCGAGTAGCTAGTCGATGCATTCATGGTTATATGGTCGTTATGTGAGTGGTGGGTATTCAGGCTATGTAAGCTCAGGTATAGATTGCTAATCATGAGTGCGCCTACAGTGAGCAAGGTGATTGTGTAGTGATAGTGGAGGAGTGGTGGAGTCGCGGGCAGAGTGTGTTAGGCAGAGTGAAAGATTGCATGTTAAGTTGCCTAGCGTGCTAGCAAGACAGGCAGAGTACATTTCAGTGTAGTGTTCTTCTGCTATGTCTGGTCAGGTGTCGTCTGCAATGCCGCATGGTAAGTGAGTCCTGTATAAGGAAAGCGGTCCTGGCTTGTCGGGACTCAAGCTAGCCCCTTCAGTTGTTCCTCCAGACCACCCTTTGGTGCCCCTGCGATGGTTGCTGTTTGCGCTGTCATCAGCCCACTGCTGTGATCCTGCAGGCGTCTGTGTGGGGCCAGACGGGCTCTGTAGCGACAAATTGTGCCATAAAGTAGTCTCTGGAGACGTAAAATCCACCATCTGAAGGTGCTATCGCAGGTCTGAGGTGGCTGTTTAGTCATGGCTGTAGCAGAGTTTCCCTTATCCCGGTTGGGAGGCATGCTGTTTCTTTGGGCGGGTTTGGTGCCTGTGTAAGCCGGGAGCTTGCTATGTTCACCCGGCGAAGACTAGTAGAGGACTCACCGCTGGGCTGATCTTGCGGTTGCATGTTTGGGTGAGTGGTGCGGTTTCTCTCCCCTGGGGCTTCATAGGGCGGGAGCTGCTGGTGTTGTGCCCCGCGCCGTCGCCATCTTAGCATCCTGCCTCGCGGTCTCCACACTTCCCGAGTCCTCTGATATGGGGACCGGGATATCCCCCCCGATCCCGAGGGGGGAATGGGACCGGCAGGCATTACATGAGGTCGGCTTGTGGTGTCCAGGTAGGGAGACAGGGCAGCGGCCGTCCACCCCGCTCCCTCCCGTGTAGGCCGCAGTCCCCGAAGTTTCGTACCTCCCTCTGGGGATCCAAAACTCCCGATCTCGGGTTCTGCTGCTTTGTCCGCAGCCGCAGGTACTTGCTTTGGGTTCCATGCGGGTGTCAGAGTTGCAGTATTTGCCTTAGAGGCCCGATTTCTCCGGAGCCTCTCCTGCATGCGACCGGTCAGCATGGCGGTCCGGCCCCGGCCCCCACACAGTTGCTTTTAACTGCAGCAATTTGCAAAAGATGCTGCAGCTATAAGCCAACAGCCTCTCCATTTCAGATAGAAGCCTATCTTTTCCCTTGCGTGCCAAAATATCACTAGTAGAGTATACGCAATACACAAATCCCATCTCCTCTGACAAACTCACTTTTATCTGGTGCTGGAGCGTAGGTAGCATATGGGCTATATTGTCTATAGTCACATTTGGTTCTTTATTCTGCAAGAAGGCCATAGAGTAGGTTAACCTTTTTAGGTCTGTTTTCAAGCTCCTGTGTCAGTTTGGTGACACAGAGATGGTAACTGACAATTGGGCAGGGTTAAATCCTATTGATCCCATAAAGATATGTTGACATCACCTCTTTGAACTGGCTATAGTGTTTGAAGTGTTTATTAAAATAGTTCTATGTTCACTTTAATAAAAAATAAAAAGCCTACGAGCAATCTAATTGCCCCATGAAGGGGCTTTTGGCCACGTAAAAAAAAAAAGAAAGAAATAGCCTCCAAGAGGTCTAATTGCCCTATCATGGGGCTTTTGTGCCTAACTCAGATACTCAGGCACACATGTTTTTTGTCTTTCATACTTTGGAACTTTTACAGCCTTGTCTGGGAAATCGGTATTTCTTCATTAAAGGGAATTTGTCACTTTCCAGGAGATGTAATATTAAGTTTACTTATCCATCCTTATATTTATTAAATATGTTTGTGATGTGTGGGTAAAATAGAAAAAAAACTGTAAAAATCCATTGTTACCTGGGCACCTCCATCTTAGCTCCCTGCTAATCATTATTGTAAGCTCTGTCCTCTGCACATGTCGATTAGCATACAGAGAGCATACACATATTTTATTCAGTAGTGTACTTTCTAAAAAAGTCCCCATTAAGAGGGTTGACACGACAGTATGTATAGTGCATGGCTGCATTTGATCTGCACTCTATATGGGATGCTGATATAGTTGTGTTTGTGTATGCATGGTTATAAAAGACTTTGGTCACTTATTAAATCTAACATTTGTCTTTCAGGTGTTTCAGAGTTTGGAAGACCATCACCTGGAGGTGGTTTCCTTCTTCCGTGAGAATGGCTTCCACGGTCTCATTGCTCATGACTCTGAGTATGCTCTGTGCAACATTCCATCTTACTACAGCTCCCATGCACTAAAACTCAGCTGGAATGGGAAGAATCTTACCACCAATCAGTTTCTCATGCAGGAGGTAGCCAAGCAGCTGGGACTGAAGATGAGCAACTTCCCCATATTTGCCGCCCTTTTGGGTAAGAATTCCTTGTTGGCTGATGAATGGAATGCCAGCAGTATTCACAGTACAAACTTATAAAAGGAACTTTGCCATATAGTCAGAGAAATTTAAAGCGGCACTGTCATGGCAGAATCCAATTTTTTTTTTAAACCCCCCCTCCCGACTCCACTACATCTAACTGACCTCCTAAGCCCCCCATATTATATTATTATTTTTTATTCTTTATTTTCTGCCCCGATCTATATTCAGGGCGCCGCCATCTTTGTGTGGGTAGAGGAAGTCCCTGTGGGACACGTCATCTGCCCACACTAGATAGACTGTGAGATTACCGAGAAACCTACTATCCGGCCCCCACCCACCTAAATAACAATAAGAGGGGTGGACCTACTGTCCTCCCCCCAGGCCCCCACCCCTGAGTGGTGGGTGGGGGCCCTAAAAAACAATAAGGGGGGGACCTACTGTCCTCCCCCGGCCCCCACCCCTGCGCGGCGGGTGGAGGCCCTAAATAAGGATAAGGGGGGTGGGGGGACCCTAAAAAAAACAATAAGGGGGGGACGGGACTTACTGTCCTCCCCCCTCGGTCCCCACCCCTGAGCGGTGGGTGGGGGCCCTATATAAGAATGGTGGGGGGGACCTACTGTCTTCCCGCCCTGGCCCACACCCCTGAGCGGTGGGTGGGGGCCCTATATAAGAATGGTGGGGGGACAACCTACTGTCCTAGCCCCAACCCCTGAGCGGGGCCCTATATAAGAATAGTGGGGGAGGGACCTACTGTCCTCTCCCATGGCCCCTACCCCTGAGTGGTGGGTAGGGGCCCTCTTTAAGAATGGTGTGGGGGGGGACCTACTGTCTTCACCCTGTGGCCCCCACCCATGAGCGGTGGGTGGGGGCCCTATATAAGAATGGTGGGGGGGGGATGACCTACCGTCCTCCTCCCCCTAGCCCCCACCCCTGAGCGGTGGGTGGGGGCCCTATATAAGAATGGTGGGGGACACACCTACTGTCCTCCCCCCCCCAAATAAAACTATCCCCTACCTACCCCCCTCACCCTAAAAATAGTGAGGGGGGAATAAAATAACTAACCTGTAAAGAAAAATTACACTTATCATTTGACGGTTAGGTTTTGTTTTGTTTTTTAACAGTGTTTACTAGACATGTCCCTACTTGCGGTATAGCGAGTAGGGGCAGATCATTTACTAATACTAAGTAATCTTTACGTAGTATTAGTAAATTTGGCTGAAAGACCAATTTAGGTCTTTCAGCCTTTTGGAAGATAACTCCCTGATACCATGGGAATTAGGGAGTTATCTACTAAGCGGCTGCAAGATTCATTCGCATGAAATTCCGATACAAAGTGCCGAGTTGAGTTCTAAAAGAAACGGACATACTGTTCTCATTCAGTTAGAACGCAATTCTGCAGTTTCATCTAAAATGACAGGAAGCATCGCGAGATCACAGAGGAAAGGTAAGAATTATGGGAAAATTGCTCTGACCAGCGGAAATGAAGCACACTTTGCTTCTTAGCTGATCAAGCGGAGGAAAACTCCATAAGGCAAAGAGTCACTACTTTGTCTTATGATTTTAAAGAAAACTAAAGAAGACCGGAAGAAAAGAAGAACAGATCCTGAGAGAGGGGGAGAAGAGGAAGAGATTGAGGAAAGGTAAGTTCGGCATGACAGTGCCGCTTTAATGGGACAGTTTGTGCACCATAACAACTTTATCTAAATGATTTTTTTTATGGTGCCAGGAAGCCACTGGCTGCACTTTTATCATCAGGGATTAAACTGTTCTTGGAACGGTTTAACCCAAAAATGAGCCTCCTCAGGTCCACCTGAATCTCCGTTTCAGGAAGCGCTGAGTGCCGTTAGGCAGGGATCAGCTGACGCTCTCAGCTAATCAGTAACTCCCCATTCATAAGACTGGCTTGAAAAGGAAGGTACCTTCATTTATTTATTAATTTTTTCTTCAGAGAACGGTTTAACTCCTTAAGGTAAGAGAGCACCCAGGGGGGCCTCCTGAAACCATAACAACTTCATTTAGGGGAAGTAGTTTTTAAGATAAGGTAATTTTAAACAACCAGATATATTATATGCATTAAGCATAAGATGTGTGAAAACACAGTGGGATCATGATTGGGAACTCTGTCACTGATTGACATGTGTGTAGGCCATAGCTCTGTTCTTACAGAAAATGGCCTTTTATCCAACCCACTCCCTGGCCATCATCTCCCTAAATTGTTGATCCTCTCACCATTTTTGTTACTGTGATCTCACCTGCCCTACTCTGCACGAACAGGAAGGGCAACTAGCTATGCAATACTTCCAGCATACAAGATATAAATCATCTCCTGATGCCTGGTTGCTTAGCAGAGGAAAGTTTTGTTTAGAAATTTGTAACCTTTTCATTAAGGAAGATTATTAATCTGTTCACACATTTGTAACTTTTCCTCTACTAAGAATGGTTTTATTTCATTCACCCCCACCCTCTCCCTTTTTCTAAAGGCATATTCATATGAGCAGTGGGTATGGGACATTTCAAATAAAACATTTTCAAAATTATAGTAGAACTAACTAAATTGTGTGTATTGTATTCTGTAATTATGTGTGTTAACCCCTTAGGGACCGAGGACGGTTCAGGACCGTCATCGGCATTTTTGTCTTGAGGACCGATGACGGTCCTGAACCGTCCTAACGGTCAGAGCTACTTACCTGATCGCCGTCGTTCCCCGGGCGGCGATCAGCGTGGCTCCGGTTGTGGGGAGACTGCCTGCAGCCCAGACAGTCTCCCCACGGCAGATTAGGACCCCTGTGACCATGTGATCGCTTAACACAGCGATCACATGGTCACAATAGGTGTCCATGTGTCTGCCTGCAGGGGGACTGTCTGTGCTGACAGGCAGTCTCCCTGCTAGTGTAAAATCAATTTAAAAAATAAAGTTAGTGTTAATAAAAATAAAAAAAAAATTATATATGTGTATATATGATATATAGACATATATTATATCTATATAATATATGTCTATATATCATATATAATGCCATACTAAGTGTATTTTTATATTAATATGTACTTATATTAATATAAAAATACACTTATAATTAAATTACACACGTATATATATAATATATATAATAACTATACATATTGTATATATATATATTATTATAAAATATAAATAATAAGTAATTTAAATTAAATAAAATTTTTTTTAAATAATAATAAAAAAATTTAAGAAAATTATATAGCTATATGAAATTTTATTCTAACTGTATTTTAAAATTAATATATATATATTTATATCAAAATACACTTAGAATGAATTTGTATATATATATCTATGTATATAAAAATAAATAAAAATAATAAGAAATATACATATGTCCATATACAAAATTACATAAATAATTATATAAATATACACGTAGACTTCAAATATATAAATATGCATATATATTTAAATTCTACGTGCGTATTTATGTAATATTTTTACATAATTCAGTAATTTTATTGATTGCAATTTGAGGGACCTGCCTGCCAACCCAGGCCGAAATTCCAGAGAATTTAATTTGCTAGCACTGTATTTTACCCTGTAACGTTCTACGACACCCTAAAACCTGTACATGGGGGGTACTGTTTTACTCGGGAGACTTCGCTGAACACAAATATTAGTGATTCAAAACAGTAAAACATATCACAGTGATGATATTGTCAGTGAAAGTTACTTTTTTTGCATTTTTCACACACAAACAGCACTTTTACTGATGATATAATTGTTGTGATACGTTTTCCAGTTTTTAAACACTAATATTTGTGTTCAGCGATGTCTCCCGAGTAAAACAGTACCCCCCATGTACAGGTTTTATAGCATTTTTGAAAGTTACAAGGTCAAATATATGGGTCAAATATTTTTACATTGAAAATGGCCAGGTTGGTTACGTTGCCTTTGAGAGCGTATGGTAGCCCAGGAATGAGAATTACCCCATGATGGCATACCATTTGCAAAAGAAGACAACCCAAGGTATTGCAAATGGGGTATGTCCAGTCTTTTTTAGTAACCACTTGGTCACAAACACTGGCCAAAATTAGCGTTCAATTTAGTTTTTTTACTTTTTTCACACACAAACAAATATGAATGCTTACTTTGGCCAGTGTTTTCGACTAAGTGGCTACTAAAAAAGACTGGACATACCCCATATTGAATACCCTGGGTTGTCTACTTTAAAAAAAATATGTACATGTGGGGTGTTATTCAGAGATTTATGACAGATAATAGTGTTACAATGTCACTATTGATAAATTTTAAAAATGTATGTTTTGAAACCGCAATATCCTACTTGTACCTATAGCCCTATAACATGCAAAAAAAAGCAAAAAAGCACGTAAACACTAGGTATTTTTAAACTCAGGACAAAATTTTGAATCTATTTAGCAGTTTTTTTCATTCGCTTTTGTAGATGAGTAAAAGATTTTTCAAGTAAAAGTCAAAAAACATGTATTTTTTTCAATTTTTCATCAGATTTTTGTATTTTTTTTAAATTAAAATACATGAGATTATATAAATAATGGTATGTAAAGAAAGCCCCTTTTGTCCTGAAAAAAACAATATATAATTTGTATGGGAACAGTAAATGAGAAAGCGGAAAATTACAGCCAAACACAAACACCACAAAAGTGTAAAAATATGCCTGGTCGCAAATGTACAACATCGCAAAAACAGTCCAGTCCTTAAGGGGTTAAGGTCTCAATTTGTTCTTCTGGTGCTTTAATCTGCACGTCACACATCAGCCTTAATACAGTTCTCCATGGCGAGCTGTAAATAATAGGTTTCTGTAATATCATTAGTTATCCAGCCAAGGCCCGTCCAAATCCAATCCTCTTGCGTGATCACTAAAGCAGGGCTTTCAAGGTAATAATATCTTCACTCATAAGGTCTATGATGCATCAAGTTAATTATGTGCTAATGAGATCCTTTAATTCAGATATATATCCATTCTGCAATTTCCGTTACTGACTTAAATTCACAGCCTGTACAATTAAGGTGTTGATTTTAAATGACTCATAAAGTAAAATTTAAATGACCAGAGCACCTCTTAGCCTTCTCTTTCATTAGAGAGGAGGAATAAATATAAATTTTTATAAAGACAAAATGAGGTCCGCCAAGTAGAGTTCACAAAAGTGAATGTTTGCAAAGGTGAGAGCTAGCATGTATTAATAATGAAGAACTACTGTACTCCTATGTCACCCTATCAAAAAGGACGTTCACATGAACTCCATAAGAGATTGGTAGGAGGCATTACTTTATAAAGACAGAATCTCTGCTTTTGTATCGGCTGTTTAGAGAGCCGCATTGATGTCTTCTGTTGAAAATGGTCCCATACTCCTAGTTATTGTATCCAGAAACAACAGTCCTTCATAGGCTCTATATTAGTTGTATGCTCCTACTAGACTTGATTTAGAAAGTTTATATTGTAAGGGGGTTATTCAATAAACACCAAATTGAAATAAATTGCAAAGTTCAGTCAATCTGCTATAGATGCAGATCGTCTGTAATTGCCTGTATTTTCCCATTCAACGTAATTCTCTACAGTTTGGAGTAGGGATCGACTGATATTGATTTTTTTCTTTTTTTTTTGAGCTGATACCGATAATCTGTGAACTTTCAGCCCGATAGCTGATAACTTACCGATATTCTGTACATTTACCATTTAAAAAAAATAAATAGCTATTTCTACACAAATCTACTCTTAACTGAACATGTTTATTATTTATTTATTTTTTTGCAAATCTGTTTTTTATTAAGGTAAATGCACGAAATATACATGCCAGTCAGAATTTATGTTTTCAAGAATATATGTGTGTGTAGTGTGTATAGTGAATGCAGTGTGTTTGTGTAGTGTGTGTATAGTGAATGCAGTGTGTTTGTGTAATGTGTATACAGTGAATGCAGTGTGTGTTTGTTTAGTGTGTCTATAATCACTGCAGAGTGTGTGTTTGTGTAGTGTGTATATAATTAATGCAGAGTGTGTGTATATAGTGAATGTAGTGTGTATAGTGAATGCAGTGTATTTGTGTAGTGTGTGTATATAATGAATGCAGAGTTTGTGTGTTTGTGTAGGTATGTAATGTGTGTAAAATGGTGGGGTGGGGGAGGGCATTTATTAAAAAATGTTTATTTTGTTTTAGTCCCCCCTCCCTGTTTCTTACCTGGCCAGGGAGGGGGATTTGGCATTCCCAAGGGGGCCCACACTCCCTCCAGTTCCCCTATCTAACTCTTGCGCCCTGTGTGGCACACGGACCGTTGCTATGGAAACCTGTGGCAACGCTCTGGCGGCCGCGGGACTCCTGAGAGTTAGACAGGGGAGCTGAAGGGAGGTGCTGGGAAGGTAAGTAAGAGTGTGCTGAGCCCCCAGGACCCTGATGGCGGCCCTGGTCTGCAATATCGGTATCTTTATTGGCCGATATCTATATTGCTGAAAATACAGAATATCGACCGATAATCGGTCGATCCTTAGTTTGGAGTTTAATAAAATCTCCATTTTGTATTGTTCAAGTGACATTTTATTATTTTTTGTCTCCTTTAGGCAATCACATCCTCCCCGATGAAGACCTAGCTGCATTTCACTGGAGTTTACTGGGACCGGATCATCCTCTTGCTTCTTTAAAGGTAAATATTATTCTATGCTTGGATTATTTCACAGCTGTTATTGGTGCATTAAGCGTGTTTGTATAATATGTGATGGAAGCTTGGGTTGTATATTTAGAAATAGTAGACGTTGTTGTTTTAGTTATAATGTGCTAGCACTTTCCACAAAGCATTGCAGTGAGAGTTTACCACCTGATCTTACTTCAACTTGATCTGTGATCTCTGCCCGTTTAATCCCTGTCTGCCTTTGATGGGTGCATTATAGTATCTACTAAAGAAAATACTGTAATTGGTTTTATTGCTATAGCAGTGTGTGAGGTATACGTACTTTATTACCATTGGCTGCAAAGCCAGTGTTTCAGTTGTTATGTCAACTTCTTAGTTTTTAGATTTTTTTAAATTTTCTTTGAGTCTTATAGATACCAGCTCAGATGCCATCCATTATGGAGTTTAATTATTTAAACAAGCCCAGTGACATTTTCTAAGTAAATCACACTTTAGCATTGTGTGTAGTGAACAGTGCACAGTATTGCACAGGAATTGCTAAGGTACACAGCATGGAACATGCAGTCGAACATTTCCAAAATGTGGCGCTTCTGCGCAAATTTATTTCAAAATAATATAAAAGTGATCCGCTCGTCCAAAGGAGTGTAAGCTGCCTCTGGCTTCCTTTGCTTGTTCATGCTAGTCTCATTCCTTTATGTATGTATTGTTATACAAGTAAATGGGTAGCCCCCAGGTCCCAGTTCATGGCTTCTGTGGATGTTACTGGACAAGAAAGAGCTCAGTGGGGTTGCTGCAAAAGAGGGAGATTCATAAACAAAGTTTTTGTAGTGGTGTTTTTTATTTTAAATTTTTTTTTCTGTATGGTTCAGTTAGAAGAATAAGAACACCCATATACTTTATTAGCATCTGAAACAATAGTGTTAAAATTAAGAAAACAAACAGTTTGTTGTAGCATAGCTGAATGTTGACCAGAGAGCTTGGCCTCTGTGGTGGTGTATGAGCTACTGGTTAATATATTGTGGTTTTCCTTACTATACATTCTTTCTCAGGTTCGAGCTCACCAACTTGTTCTGCCACCTTGTGATGTTGTAATAAAAGCTGTTTCAGAATATGTGGGGTCCATCAAAGATGCCTCTAATCTGGATGCAGTTGGCAAAGAAATCTTCAGGCACTCTCAGGTAATCTGAGGTTTTCCTGTGTTTTTTTTTTTTTTTGTTAAGTTAACCTCTGATATATTGCATCTAAAGGATAAATTACAGTTCTTTCCATGGAATCCGATTTGTACTAAATTCTATCTTGTTTCTAGAGCATTTTTTTTTTATGTTTTCCAGACATTTATGTAGTTTATGCCTTATTTTGTTGGTCAGGAAGTTGTAACTGGAATATGTTAAAGGACCACTATAGACACTCAGACCACTTCAGCACAATGAAGTGGTCTGGGTGCCAGGTCCCCCTTGTTTTAACCCTGCAGCTGTAAACATAGCAGTTTCAGGGAAACTGCTACGTTTACATTGAGGGTTAATCCAGCCTCTAGTGGCTGTCTACCCAACAGCCACTAGGGGCCGCTTCCGTGATTCTCAGTGTGAAAATCACACTGAGATGACGCTGACGTCCATAGGAAAGCATTGAGTAATTGAGTAAGGCTCTGGCCGCGCATGCACATTCGGAACTGATGTCGGCAGGGGGAGGAGAGGTCACCAGCACCGAGTGAGCCCAGCGCTGGGTTAAAGGGACACTATAGTCACCTGAACAACTTCAGCTTAATGAGGTTGTTCAGGTGAGAACTATAGCTCCCTGCAGCCTTTCTCATGTAAACACTGTATTTTCTGAGAAAATACAGTGTTTACATTGAAAGCTAGGAACACCTCCAGTTGCAGTCACTGAGTGAACCAGAGGGACTTCTGAGTTGATGGAGGCATAATTTGCCTCCATCCACTCAGATCTGCTGTGCATGAGCATCCTGTGATTCAGTATCTCCTCCCACTGCATGCAGACACTGAACTTTCCTCATAGAGATTCATTGATTCAATTCATCTCTATGAGGATGCTGATTGGCCAGGGCTGTGTTTGAATCATGCTGGTTCTGCCCCTGATCTGCCTGTTTGTCAGTCTCAGCCAATCCTATGGGGAAGCATTGTGATTGGATCAGGCTACCACATGTCAGCAGACTGCTTGTTTTTCTGAGTCTAACAGCATGCAGATTTACAGCTTCAGGCTTGAATACAGTAAGATTTTTACTATATTTATGGAGGCATGAGGGGCCCAGGGGGCTAGATGGTGGTGTTAACACTATATGGTCAGGAATACATGTTTGTGTTCCTGACCCTATAGTGATCCTTTAAGGTAAGTGGCTGAAGGGGTTTTAATCACTTCAACCCAGCGGGAGGGGGGGACCTAATAACCCTATAGTGCCAGGAAAACTATTTTGTTTTCCTGGGACTATAGTGCTACTTTAATAATATATACACATTTCAGAATCATTCATATATAAAGAGGTATGGTATAGAGATTGAAGAAGTCTTGCATTTAAAGGGACACTCAAGCACTGAGACCACTTCTATCAGATGAATTGGTTATAATGCTTACATTTCCTTGGTGCCATTCCACCATTTTTGAAACGGTTGAACGCTAAATGTTAACTATTCTTCCTGCTTGGCTACTTTGACCTTAAAGTTGAAATTAATTTCAATTCTCACTGTAGATCTAGAACGATAGATATGGTTATAATTGTAAATGCTTGCAAGGTGGTTTGTATGTTATCTCAAAGAAGTGAAACTTTGTCCTCTCAAGTGGGCATAAGCATGCTGAGGGCTAACACTAGCAGAGAAAGGAAAAGAAAATTAACTAACAACTAGCATTTGTTTCCCATGTTGAAATTGTGTTTCCTCTGTGTAGAGATGTGGCTGAAGCCATGTTGTTATTCTGAAATCACTTTTTTGCTCTTCAGTCCAGAACAGAAGATAAGATTGAGCGTTTCAAGAAAGCAGTGGAATATTATTCTGTGGCGACCAAGCAACGTCCACCCCAACTCAACCCATCCCCTTTTGTTGGTGAGTGTCTTGGATGTACAGTGCTTCAAACATTCTGCAAGCCTGACCACGTTTTTAAGCCATTTCTGTTATATGTCATTGCCCAACTGTTACCCTGATTATGTTCTCCCATGGCTTTTGGAGTATGCATTGACCTCAGTTGTCTTTCACAGTTGCCGGCTATGGGCCCAGCCAGTTTGGTGTACCACCACTTCACCATGGTCAGATGGGAGGAATGCCTCTTGGGAAACCCATGGTGAGTCTTTGTTACTCTGCACAGTAATGCATTGAAATTATGGTTACCAAGTGCACTACCTGTAAATGCTTTCTTTAAATATTAATAATATATCTGTGTACCAGGTTTCTTTCAGGATCAGGGCTTTATACAGAGGTTGCATATTGAAATATTGGGACCTGAACACTGGTTAGCACAACATCTAGAAGGGCCCTTTGCTCAATTACAGATGAAGTTAGTGCAGGACTGATGAAAAGAGATCACATAAACCATACATTACCTGATTCTTGAAGGACAAACTATCAGGATTATTCACTAAAATGAGAATTCAAAGTGAATTTAAAATTTAAGGCCAAATAGCCGAATTGAAAAATTCCAGAGTGTTTCCAGTTCAGCTCCTTTGAATTCTCAGTTTAGTGAATAACCCTGTAAGACTGACAAACCTGAGCTGTGATAATGGTTATGCCCACTAGGAGGCTCCATAGTAATTATTTTGTTTTGTACGTCTTCTAGTGGTGATTTAGGATATAACACCAGTCCTGTTACTAAGTCTTTGTGGTAAGAGTTTTTGTTTGAATGAAATTTCATTCATCACCTCAGGGATTAATTTTTACTCCTGATGGATTACAGTGTAATGACAGCAAATATTGCCAATGTGATTTTCTTACATTTCCTAGTAATTAAGTGATCTTCAGATATGGATAATGCTTAACACGTTGTTTGTTATTGTATTGTATCAGCTAAATGACAATCAGAAAAATTCTAAAACCTCTAGAAGGTCTAGCACACCTAACTAGGTTTGCCATGTTTCCCTGGATACACATTACGTATTCATACTGGTGGCGGGATGTGCAGTGTGCTGTGCTGTTCTAAGTGAAAGCCACAAGGTGCAGGAGGGAAATCGATTATTTACAAAGGTTCTGCAAAAGAACCTCAGGTATCAGCATTTGTGGTCTGCACTTTTCATGTGCTAGCCATCATCAGGTAAAAGTCATATGTGTCCACGACACATGGTGGATCTGGCAACCCTCCTAACGATCTTTGAGGTATGGAGTATGCCACAACTGTGCTATTTGAATTGGCGCCTCCATATTGATGCCTTGTTAATTTGTCTTTCTGGAATTCTTCTGTAAATAAGTTCTTTATTTTATTTTTGCATGAATGATTTGTCACATTTTGGTTTGCCCACAGTGAGATTATTATACTGAAATGTTTCAAATAAATCACAGGTAGTTTGTTTAGAACTATTCCTTGCCTGACTGACGTGAATATTAATGCATAATTTGAGTTTTCTCTCTGGTCTTAAAATAATTCAGGCATAGTCCGTTTTTGTAAAACTTAGGGAAGTTGCTAGCTTACAGATTCACCTGAGCTGTAGCCCAAAGGACAACATGATGAGGACTCCTCTCTCCAGACAGCAGTCCTGTGTCCCTCACCCCAAATCCTGACTCTTTTTTTTTTCTTAAATTTAATTTCCTTTACTCCTTTTGTGTCTCTTTATCCACCGATCTTCCTGAACTAACTTTGTGTTTCTGGCCGTCAGTCTTTCCTCACCCATATGTGTATCCCATCTCCCTCAACCCCTTTCGGTATGTCTTGTACCTCACTTGTATCCTGCTCCCTGAAGCGATCTGCAGTTAAAAAGCAAAAATTTTGGAGGCTCTAGTCTCTAAGGCACTACCTAAGAACACCTATAAGTATGTCTGGTGGAATTTGATCTAAATCACAAGCAAATTTAGCCAAAAATAACTTTTAAGTGTCCCTAGATGACTCAACGTCATACCTACTCTAACTAGATATGTGTGTTGCAGTTGACACAGAGAAAGGAATTTCACTGCAAAGTGGTATATTGCCTCTTTGGATAAGTGTTTTTATTTTGTAATGTATGTTTCCTTTATTTAGTTTGGACACCAGATGCAAGCAAAGCTACAGTATCAACATCCCTTTCCTCCAGGGCCAAATTCTGGCTTCTTGTTTTCTACTCATCCATTGGGTGACCTGCAACACTTTCATGACGAAAACCTAATAAAAGGAGGAGCCTTCTCAGGCTGGTCCTTGCCCTATGATTCATCTGCTTCCAAATTTCCAAATCATCTTACTTTGAAACCCTCCCCATCATCTGGCCATGAATCTTCACCATCTTCTTCCTCTGACGAAGATCAGAATGGTGCCACATCGAAGTAAGCTGCAGATGTAATCTGTGTAGTTAAAAATGTAGATGTTTGTGGTTTGTAGAAAGGTCAGCTTACAATTTCTGTTTTATTAAAATATTGCTTTTTTCCCTCATCTTTACTACCCAGAACCCAGATAGTTTATAAAATTTACAAGACACTTTTTATTTTTGTTTTTCCTTCACCGCCAAAACTGTGATGTTATCCACACCTGCAGATACTTTTTATGGTGTTAGGATTGGGATGCTTATCTTCTGTATGTGTTGAAAGGAAATTAGTCCTATATCACACCCAGAAATTGGTATACTGTTTCATTGTCCAGGGTAGCAGCACATTGTAAATGATAACCTGGTTATTTCACTGTCTTTCCCGAGTCATGTCACAGAAAATCGTCCGCATAAACCTAGCTGGGAGGAATCCTCTGGGGAGAAACATACCCAATCCTGGGGCCAGCAGTCCGGATCTGGAGATTCTAACCAAAACATGGGACACACAGAAAACCAGATTCCTTCTTTACTGTCCATGGCAACTCGCAACCACATGGATATTACCACACCACCTCTCCCTCCAGTGGCCCCCGAGGTCCTTCGAGTGGCAGAGCACAGACATCGTCGGGGTCTTATGTACCCATATATCTATCATGTCCTTACAAAGGTGCGTACTGTCTTCCACAGGAGATCTTAAAAAGCAACTTCAGTAAGGAGTGAGGCTGTTGATTTACTTGCTATTTTATTTCTACTTTTTAATATTCTATGTTGCTGCAGAGTATATGTTGGTACAATATAATTGATGATAACACCATTAAACTTAACAATTATCGATGGAAAACACAGTTTATGTAGTCATTTTTCCTCTGATCTCTATTGATGTTTCTGAAATGGCAAAAATTAAAAAAATGTATGGTGCACCACAGACACAATTTAAACACTGCAATTTAAGAACACTAATGAATTCTTCCAACCCTTCCCACTACATTGAATAATAGATCAAACACAAATTAGGACTCCCTGCTTGAAGGTTTCTGTATGTTTCCCTTACCAATATAGTATACTCCTATTGCTCCTACAGGGTGAGATTAAATTGCCAGTCTGCATAGAAGACGAATGCAATGCCGATCTCCCTCCTGCAGCAATCCTTTTTCGACCAGCACGTCAGTATGTGTACGGAGTCCTCTTCAGTCTTGCAGAGACTCAGAGAAGACTAGAACGGCTTGCCATGCGGAGGCGTCTCCCTGTTGATGGTGAGGACACCCTAACTGAATTTTATAATCATAAAATTCATTGACTTTTTATGTGCTGTCTGTAGGGTTTATCTGCAGTATTGCTTTAAATGTTTAAAAAAAAGAAGAAGAAGAAAGGAATTTATCAGTACACATAGAAGCAAGAATTTATTATTCTGTATTTAGTCACACAATGGCCTTTAAGACCTCTCATATGAATAAAATACATATCTATATTATAGTCCTATTTGCATCAACCCCGCTCATGCAATTGTTTTAATTCCAGCATTCTCCAATGTCCAGTTTTGGATTAATTCTTGCATTAGGTCTGCAGCATGCCTAATCTCTCATTGCTTCAAAGCTCTCATAACACGTCATGACATTGCTTTTTAACATAGTAAAACATTTGACTAATAATGTTCACCCTCCTGACTACTAATGTTTTCTTCCCCTTGCAATGTTTTTTCTCTCCCTGAAATAGACTACCAATTACCTAGGTGTATTGTTATTTCTATAGCTGTATAGTGATTCAATATTTTCCAGTACTAGAGAATTTAACATAGATATATCTCAGCATGCAATGAAGTATGCCAAATAACTGTATCTATATTATATGATCTGCCTGTGGATAAGGTAGGCTTTAAAACCAATATTCACTGTAAAGTATCCACACTACTGACTAAATTACTCGGTCATTTTTTTTTAATGTTAACACATTGGCAGTCATTCTCTTAATTTTCTTAAAGGACCACTATAGTGTCAGGAAAACAAACTTGTTTTCCTGACACTATATAGTCCTCAGGGCCCCCCTTCAGCCACTTACCTTTATCTAGCGCTGGGCTCCCTCGGCGCTGGTGACCTCTTCTCCCTCTCCGAGGTCAGCTCCCGAGTGGAGCCGAATGCAAATGCGCGGCCAGAGACGCGGGCATTGAAATCACCCATAGGAAAGCATGAACGTTCTGCCTGCTCAATGCAATTTTCGCATTCAGCGTCGGGGAACCGCCTCTACCGCCTGTCAGGAAGACAGCCACTAGAGGTTTATCTGAAACTGCTATGTTTACAGCTGCAGGGTTAAAACCTGGGGACCTAGCACCTAGACCACTTCATTGAGCTGAAGTGGTCTGGGTGCCTGTAGTGGTCCTTAAATTATGTTTGGCATTGAATACTTTCTGTACTGTCTCTAGCTTGCTCTCAGTAAATCCTGTGTTGTGTTAAGCTGCATTATGCAGAGCGTAATCTTCCTAATGGTATTTTTGTCCGGGACAAGCTGTGGGCCATGCACTGTTAAGCTGCCTTCGTTATCTTTCTGTTGGTTTTGAATTTCATGTTTTACTTTTTTCACACCCAGTTCTTCAAAGAATACATAAGTGGAAATGTTCTGTTAGAATAAACTGGTGCTTTGGCGGTGTTTTTCTCTCTATCATACTTTTACTTTTTTGGTAGTTAATGCCATAATTTGGATGGAGCTTCTCTTTCCTAAAAATAACCTAAATAAAGGGACACACATAGCTTCTATATTTCAGTGACTGCAAAGTTATAAAACATTTGGCTATCATTATTACATCTTAACATAACTGATATTTTTCAATTATTACCTAAGATTATGTAAATGCTTACTCATACGACCAAGGTAAAGCTGAAAACAAATCTGTATTCTTAATACTATAGTGTCCCTGTCTCCAATTTAATAGGTCCCCCACCCCACCTCATAGCATGAAACGGGTTAAAAAAACTTTTTACAGTTACGTCTTCTCATTGTCGTGGTTTCCTCGGTGCTGGCTAGTTCTTCTTCTCACGCAACGTGCAGTGCATGCATTCCGTATGGGGAATTTGAAAACGTTAAACATCCTTATACAAAGCGCAACGATGTCCAATATTTCACAGAGTAAAACTGTGGAAACACTTTAAGCGTCTGTTTGGAAGACAGCCTCTAGAGGTGGACTTTACCCTGCAATGTAAACAGCTCTGAAACTGCAATTTTATACATTGCAGGGCTAAAGGGATTCTCTAGTGCCAGGAAAACAAACAGTGTCGCACATCCCACATTGCTGAAGGGGTTAAAACCCCTTCAGTCACTTACCTGAATCCAGCGCTGATGTCTCTCGGTGCTGGGTCAGGTTTTGCCCGCCGACGTCAGCATACTGGGTGCCTACAGTATCCCTTTAAGGGGACAGGCATTGTTCATTGAGATTAAGTGGTCTGGGTGCCTATAGTTTCCCTTTAAAATATGTGTCTTAATATTATCCCCCAGTTGTAGCTGTGTGATAGCTTAATTTATTAATGATGCTTGAACTATTAGTGGAAAAACTTTGCCTACATTGCTGCCTTAACCTGTCCTCAAGCTGCCATAAAGCCAAGTTACTTTAGTAACAAGCTTTAAAAAAAAAAAAAAAAGCTGTTCCTAAATACTCTGGTTAGTTATTAAACTGATTTAGGAGTTGCCACACTAGAACTGCAGATTTAGGATGTGGTAGATTAGAAAGGGATGGATGACCACAGGATACTTATCCTGATATATAAATAATATTTAATACAACTTATTAAAAGCATATAAGGCATGCTCCTTGTCATAGTGACTAGTCCTCCACAGTTAATCAGCTGTCAGTTCGGTGCGTGAATTTCCTTCTTTAATGCCGCCCCGTTAGTTACCTTTTCTTTTGTTGCAGATGATTGCTTAGATAGGGCTGTCACGGGAGATGGGACTCCTTGTACATGTTCCCTTATTTGGATTTTGTTTTGGATTTTGTTTCATCTATCACCCTGCATTCAAATTTAATCACTACCAAATAATTGTTTCCTTGTGTTCAGCTATCCATTCCCTTTTGTTCGGTTACCAAACAGACTATGTGTGGGTCCCCCTTGTTAACCCCTCACAATCACCGACCACCCCTGGCCGTTAACAACAAACAAACAATCACCTCAAGTGCTTCCCTGGGTGGCCGCCATTCGCATATACGAACACACGTGCTATCAGGACTGGCGGCCATCTTGTCTCCCGAACGTAGGCCGCGGTTCATGGTTGTCGACGGCATGGATCTCTGAGTTGGCTACGCAAGTTTGTGAACCCCGCTGAAACTTGTACCCCCGTCCGTTCGACTTCCTGACCAGCTAGGAGATCGGCGTTCAGGAGTAAGAAAATACTGAACAAGGGAAGCATTAATTTCTTAAAAGCCAGGGGCTGCGTCCTTTCGGTGTATGCACAGGGACCCCCAAAAGTCGACCGGCCAGCCTGACCAATTTGGTCAGGTCAAAACTTTGTGCGAACCCAACTCTTGTTCTACAGAACGGATCTGAGCGCTTTTTGGATGTGTTGTGCGCTCAGATCGGGGCTATTCTGGAATACAGTTTTTGTGGGGTTCCTGTACTGTTTTGTATTTTTGTGATATGTACACATTGTATGTAAGTTTTCCTATTTGAGAGATAATTGTTATCTTAATTAGAGCTCAATTATCTCTCAAACACAATGGCTTGTGGGAAGGAAACCCCTGTGATATTGTCTTCGATATATATATTCGATATATGTGATATAAACTCCATGCTAGGGACACTGTATAAAAAGCAGAATGTGGCCTATTAAAGTCAGATTGCTTCTTCTACCCAGTACGACTGGTTGCGTCCATTATATTGGGGGAAATGCTACACAACGATAATATTACCATATTCAGCACATCTGAAATTATGACTAGTGGAGAATTGAAGGACTAACAGCAATAGACTAGCGACAAGGGCATAGCTAGTCAGGTGTATTTAGGTAATGATATATACTCCTTTAACGTTAATCCGTATCTTCTTTTTTTTCTGTCTCAGTGCCACCAGTGATTATTAAAGAATGGTCAGCATACAAGGGGAAGTCTCCTCAGACTCCAGAGCTGGTGTCGGCTTTGACGTTCCGAGAGTGGACTTGCCCAAACCTGAAGAAGCTGTGGCTCGGCAAAGCTGTAGAAGACAAGAATCGTAGGATGAGAGCATTCCTGGCCTGCATGAAGTCAGACACTCCCAGCATGCTTAATCCTGCAAATGTTCCCACTCACCTCCTCCTGATGTGCTGTGTGCTGCGGTGAGAAACAGTTTATTCTACTCTTCATGTGAGCAGCATTTAGGCTCCACTGAATGGGGAAGAGTCAATGCCCATGTTTCTTTTGTTGCAGGTACATGATGCAGTGGCCTGGAGGAAGGATATTACTCAGGCATGAGCTGGACGCTTTCTTGGCACAAGCTGTATCTGCACAGCTGTATGAGCCAGATCAGCTACAGGAGCTCAAGGTAAGAACACAATATTAATGCAAATCTATATGTATTTCACATGAAAGAGTTTACCAATCAGTATCAATACATTAAAAAAATGAATAGCAGTTGAAAATGGGAATATGAAACTGCAGAATGTTTCAGCAAGAGCATATTTTTTTATTATTATTTTTTCCCCCCCATTGGGCAGATTGAGAAGTTGGATGCCCGAGGTGTACAGCTTGCAGCTCTTTTCATGAGTGGGGTGGACACTGCACTTTTTGCCAACGATGCCTGCGGCCAGCCAGTTCCTTGGGAGCACTGTTGCCCCTGGATCTACTTTGATGGAAAGTTATTTCAGAGCAAGCTGATCAAAGCGGGACGGGAAAAAGCTCCTTTGATTGAACTGTGTGATGGCCAGGTAAGAATTCACAAATAAAATAAAGGTTTAGAAGGGAAAAGATGTGGGGGAAGTAAAGGCATGTATACGGATGGATAGAGAACCTGAATAAGGGAAGGAACATCTGAAACAGCATTGTTCAATATAAGTATCCTCCACAAAGATTTTTACAAGTCTCTTGTGTTTATGTTCCAACAGATTATATTCACTGTGTTGATTAGCCTTATCGATTACCACATGTGTCGTTTCCTATAAGTTTGCTGATGTGTCTTCAGTAAATGCACAATTATTGTTTGTTCCCTTTGGGTCCTCCGTATAATCTGTGTATAGAGTGGTTGGGAAATTACATGTGTTCAAATCGCAATTGATTACCATTTTGCTTTACCCAGGGAGAGCAGGCAGCCAAAGTGGAGAAGATGAGACAGAGCATTCTTGAGGGGATCAATCTAAATCGTCAGCCACCTCCTCCTCTTTTGCCTCCTCCACCATTCATGCCCCCTATGATGCCACCATTTTACCCTGTGTCACTGTATCCAAGAGCCATGGGTTCAATGCCCCCACCGCCACCCGGTAGGAACAGAGGGTTTTCAGGTGTGTGTTGTGCTTTTTCTTTTTTTCTGTACTACGTTTGCACATCACTCTGCTTTCCGCCACTGATTGTGTTTTTGATTTGCCACAGGAGTCCATCCCATTCCTCCACAGGGAGGCAAGCTAGAAATAGCTGGCATGGTGGTAGGCCAGTGGGCTGGTAGTAAACCTTCCCGTGGTCGAGGAGCCTTTGGCATGCAGGTTGTGTCTGTTGGTGGCCCAGGAAAAGGGTAAGTGAGAAATCATTTTGGAAAAATCTTTTATGAGTATAAAGTTGCCACAGGAGGTGTCTACTGTTAAAAAAAAATAGAACTTCTCATATTGACAATTTTTAATAATCATATTTAATGTGAAGTATAATATTCTTTGTCATTATTTTAGATTCTGGTGTATTTATTTGCAGATCTATAATTGAGAATAAAATAAATATGATGATAAAACTTAGATGTCACTCTAACCTTTTTATCTTTGTTTTTCTTTTTCTTTTTTTCTTCAAGTCGTGGAAGAGACCCTTCAAACAAAGTAACAAAAAATAACAAGAAGGTGAACAAGCAGGTATGGAGTGAAGATTTAGATATCTATAGAGAATTGTGCTACTAAAAACCATTTCAATCTATCAGGGATAAAAGGTGTTTTTCAGATTAATAGCCCAAGTAGTTGAAAGGAAAATAAATGGCTCTGGGCACCTTAAAAAATGTAATCAAAATCAAGTTGTTATGGTACCATGAGGTCCCTTGCGCTTAGTTACCCATAGAGGTTCAGCCATTTGCAATAGGTTTAACGTCAAGGTTGGCTCTCCTGTCCGCTTCTCACTGTCTCAATCGACATGTGATTTCTGAAATTCAGCTACAGGAAGCACTGACGTCCACTTGCTGGTGTGCCGCTGGTTGGCTTAGAGCAGGCAGCTATGCTGTGAGCAAGTCAGTAGCTCCCCATTCATTTAAAAAAAAAAAAAAGTATGTAACTTTTCTTTTTTTTTTAATGTATTTTTTAAATCCAGTTGCGCTGCAGGTCCAGCGTGAAATTTATTTTGGTTGGCCATGTTTCCTTTTAAATTTCTTTGTGTAGCAGTTTAGGCTTTTTGTAAAGAAGGCAGAATATGGCTTTATTATCCACAATCTCAATTAACTGATCCTTGTATTTCTTCTTTCTTCCAGGGCTCAACAGACAGTCGTAGTCCTTCCCATGTAAATGGGACCAGTGGAAGCAACGCCCCAGAGGAAGAACAGAGTCCTCAAACCATAGCATGTGCCTTATCCAGAGATTGCAGTGACCCTTGTAACAACAGCTCCCCTCACTTCACCGGTATAACCAGTGAAAGCAGCGACACCTGCCGTGATGAGAAGCTAGGGCCCACAGCCCTTCAAAAGGAAGAATGAGCAACACAGGGACAGAATAGGCAAGCGTTGGAGGAGAAGGAGGAGTGTGATGGAGTGACAGATGGAAAAACTGTGACCATTTTAGCTTGTGAAGATGTTGATAATCCAAGGACTTCTTAATTTATGAGGTACTGTGGATTATCAGGCCCCTTACCTCTCCAGTACCAGAGCGATCTGTAATCTCTGGTATTCCCTGCAGTGCAGGAAGACCTGGCACTGGAAAGGATAACTTATGACAAACCCACATTTGACACATGCTACTCGTGCCGCACTTTTAGTACCTACCACTCATGGTCCTGCGGAAAGGAGCACAGTATGTCTTGGACATACTAAATGGCTGCTAATTTCTCCAAGTTTGGGAAGCATAAGCTATAATTCATTTTCCGATAGTGGCCATGATGTGACTTGATATGCAACAGACTCGGATTTGTATCTTCAAACTGGGTTTTATAGCATCTCTTACACTTTCATTGGGAAACTGTGCATTGCTCTGTTACGTAGTAAGCATGATGCTGTGATCGTCACCCTTTCTATTCAAAATGGAGACAGCTGTCAGTATTAATCAAACAGGCACTTGTCAATCAAATTGTAGCCGGGATTTGTAAATCTTGACTTAAAATCCTATAGGAAAGTGCCGTGTCTTCTTTGCACTCCCCCTTCTCCAGCCTCTAATTACGGGGGGAAAAATACGCTTCTGCCTAAAAATATGATCCTGTAGATAAAATCGAACTTTTTTTCTGAATTTTATTAATATTATTTTTTATATGTATATAGATATATATATAAATATGGCCTTTGTACAAAGGGGAATTTCAGGAAAGAGACTGTCATGGGCAGATTTTTCCTGCCTTCATATAAGGTCAAGCCTGTGTTATGCTGGGTCATTTCATCTGTGATGCAGGTCAGAGTTTGAGGGTCAAAGGTTAATTTGTTGAAGGAAGCAACCACCCTCTCTTGATGAAAAGAAAAGAAAAAAGCGTCTATTGAGCATTAAATACTATTTTAGCAATGCCTAATGATTCTACAGTTTGTAGAATGATGGTGAATAGCACCTGAATAAAAACAAACAATCAGGCAGATTTGTCACTATCTATTGACTGGTAGAGTTCGTTGAATACTGCCAAAAGAACCTTTAGAAATTTGGTGATGTGTATTTAGTGTCATTTCTGTATGAATGCTAAAAGGAGTTAGAAGGTTGTGATCCTATACAGCATCTTTTACCCATAAACTGTTGGAGATATCAATGTATTGCTATGCAATTCTTTGTTGAGAGCTCTGACAGAGAAAGGGCTTGTCCTTATCTTTGACCTGTGTGCGTGAGTGCGTGGGCAGGGGGTTAGCAATGACACACTGCTTGTTGACAAAGGGGTTAATCTCCTTTTGTTTTGGTGAAGGTGTAATGTGAATGAATGTATGTGATGCATAATGTGTTTATCTCTTGGCAAATGCTACAGATGAACACTTGCAAAAATACGTATCCAGAGCTTGTCTGCTTAGACATGCTGTGTATATTGTGAATATACATACGTTTGTGCACAGACTTTATGTACAGAGAGAGGCAGAGAGAGATCTATTTATGTAACCTATAAATATATATTTAGGCAAATCCACATCTGCATCCTGAGCAGGACCAGTATTCCTCGGGAACGCTGCCGCTGCTTTGGGGGGGGTTTGTGGTTATTCAGAACTGTTTACTCCAGACGTGTAATTCTTTTAAGAACAGGAGAGAGCAGATTTGGCTCTTGTGTCCAGCGCTTCAATCGGAAACCTCGCTTGACGCTCACCTCTCCAAAATGAACTAAAACTGCATTATTATTTTTTTCTTTTTTCTACATTGGCATAAAATGCACCCATGGATTTTACTCTGAAGGGTTTACAGTGTGTTGCTTTGCATCTTCCAATGCAAACGTAGGAAGCAATCCATTATTTTTTTTTTTCTTCTTCACACTTGCTAAACAATCGCACTGAAGCTAGCTCTGATGAGGTCTGTTTTTATAAACAAAAAAAAAAACACATCTTGGGACACAAATACTGCCAGGAAACCTGCCTTCAGCTGATCCTAGGGATTGTTTGATCGGAGATCATTTTATTTGACATACATTTACTTTTCCTACATAGCATCTGAACTTTTTTGTGCAGCACTCTGGAATACTATGAAATGTTGTGGAAGTTCAGATAAGCAGCTATATAGACCAATGTATTTTTTGCAGCAACTGTCTTTGCTCCCAAATAGGCAAGGGGCAACCAATTATTTTTTAGTTTTTTTTCTTAAAGTGAATTGCGATAACATGTTTGTCACAATTTAATCAATTACTGCATGGCGCTTTCATACCTCTTTCTTAGGCATTCTTGAGCTTTTTTACCTCCTAGTATTTCTGGTAGCTTCCAAAAAGTTTCTGGTTTATTTACGTGAGCTTTTTGATGCTTGCATATATCCCCTCTGGACTAAAACAGCAACTTAAGTTTTAAAAGAAGTAGGTTCATGCCAACGTTAATACTGTCACACATTTGATCACAAGAACTAAGTCTCTGAGCAGTTCCTATAAAATAGATACCAACATGACATGATCTTTTTTCGTTTGGTTTAGATCAATACCCTAACGGTTTGTGAGCAAATCCTGTTGGGTGTTTAAAGATGACAGTACAGGACTATTGATGACCTAAATAGCACTTTTCATTATTCGAGAACCCTTTGGCTATAATAAATTAAGCACCTACCTGACACCAGACTTGCTGTGAAATTTAACACAACCAATCCAAGGCTTTCCATATTAAGAGGTGCTGTAGATATCCTTCTATTTCCTGTTTTATATGCAGTTTGCTCACAGGAAGTCTTCTGACAATCTAGTTTCAAAACAAAAGCATATTGTGTCAGGTATCGTCCCCTTATTTTGGGGGCATATATAGTGCCTCCTTTCTGTTCAAGCTAAGTTTTTGAGACTTAACCTGTCTATTAAGGGGTCATGCAAGTTTTTATTTTTCTGATCCTCAGGTTATGTTACGATTGAGGTCCTTTCTATGTTCTGTGGTGTCTGATGGCATCATGTAATTGGCATCTGTTCGTATCATAGTACATCAAATGTGTGAATTTCCCCCCTCTACCAGAGCTTGAAGGCATGTTCCTTTAACCTTTTAACCATCTGTGCATCCTACTAGTATTGTAGACACCTAATGCTCTCGCAGAGGTAAACGATGTGGGCCATGTGAGATGCAGTAATATTATTATAAAAAAGACGAAAAAAGTATCTGCTTCAGAGTACCAATAACATTTTCTGTAGCTTAGTGCATAGTACAAATGAGAAAATATACTATTTTGGATGTCAGATTTATTTATTTGGTCAGAATAAAAAAACAACATGCTGCCAGTTATTGCTTTTATCCAAGCTTTTTATTTTATTTTTTGGTTTTCCCTGGGGTTAACTATTTATCATCTTCCTTCCATTCAGTATGTCCTCAGCAGGTGTCTCCAGTTTGGAGCTGACTCCATGTGCTTTTTTGCAGTGTCATGGCTTTAAAAACAGCCCCTTTACATTGCGTTTTTCTTTCTTTTTTTTTTTCCCCTCTTTAAAAGAAGGGAGGTCTAAAATACAACAGCCATCTGAATCAGTGTTAAGAGATATTGTTCAACAACATAATCCGGTTCTGGCATCATTGTGTTCCCAGTTTGTGTTTCATGGACTGTCTTGGGAGCCAAGTGCAAGCCTTTCTCTACTGATGTTGGCGTCAAATAATGCCGTGCTGCTGGGACCTCTTCCTTTAAGCATCGATATCAGACTTCTCCTGGGAACAGTCATCCCAGGAAACGGGACATAAATCCCTCTGCTTATTCAGTAACTCAACTTTGCCACGGAATGGACTTGAGTTCTACCAAGTTGGAGAATTCCTTGTCGTGGCTTCTGACTGTGCGTATTTCCCACAGTCACTGTGGCTTTTAAGGGCACAGCAATATTGTTAATGATGGGGGAACCTATCCTGATATTTCACAGGGGAATACAACAAAACAGTTCCCATACAAGTTGTCAACTTGTTATACTTTTTTAGTATAATCTTTTTTTTTTTTTTTTTCAAGCCATTACAACTTTACACTTATATTTTAATTATATTTTGTAACTGGATTTCACAATTAAGACTAATTTTAATCACACAAAAAACATCCACTTAATTATCCACCATTAATTGCTGTCTTGATTTTTGGATATATGAAAAAAAAACACACCTTTTTATATGTAAAAGTATCTTTTGCTTTATGTTTGATACACATTATATACCTGGTGAGACTGTATACCATCAATTCATTTTTTTTCTCACCAAGACAAGTTAAACTGTTCACTAACTATATGTTCTAGTTTTCAATTAAGGTTACAGCTAATCTCATTTGTAACGTGTTTGTAACAGAGTGAACGATACCTTTTGGCAGTCTCGCTGCTGCTGCTGCTGCTGCTGAGTACATTTCTTGTGATCCTCAGCCAGCAAAGAATTATGTGACACTTGGCCAACAATGGTTGGATTGACAAAGGGTACCCATCACTGTTATAACTGGTTAAAGCTGCATTTCACGTTTTTAAAAATATATATATATATTTTCCGATTCTCTGAAAGTAAACATGCTACCTTTACATTATTTCATTAATATTTTAAAAACTACAAATTAGCAATAGAAATACTGAATCAGGCAAAACTAAAAAGATCTAATACAGTTTATCTTTGTTTGAAGTAACAAAATAATCTCCACTCCCTCTGTATTTTTATGCGATAGATAGGCCCGCACAACATACTTAAACCTTCTTAGAAAACAAATTGTGAGTTTGTTACACATGTGAGGTAATTTATATCATGATTTCCCATTAAAAGCTATTTCTATTCCTCCCTCCCCCTTATGATATATTTCCATACTCAGCAGCATGTTTATTTAAAACAAAATTTAAAAAAAATTATCGTGAATGTGAAATGTTGCTTTAATTCAGCAGGGTAACCAGTATTCTGTAAATTGATCCACTGGTCATCCTTCTTGCATTCCCAAGTGTTTTCACGAAACACATCACATAGAAGGGAAATAAAAATGTTTTAACTTCTGTTCGTTTTGTAAATTACACAGCTAGTTTTTACTTTGGTGTTAAGGGGATGGGGTGGGGGGAAGGGAGCAAGGTATATCTTTTGATGTAACACTGTTCTTTATAGTCAATCTATGCGATATGTATGTGCATCAAGTTCCCAAGATCCCTTGTTATCTAAATAGAGCCAGGATTGGTGGGACTCATAACCCTAGAAGTAGGGAGCTTTGGGAACGTAAGTTGTTTATTGGCATATTCCGTGTATTGTGCTTAATTTGGCACTGGAAAACAAGGTGCATTTTCTACATCAACACTTTGACACAGTAGCAATATATACTGATGAATTGCCAAGTTCAGCATTTCATTTTCACAAACTAGACCATGATCAAGCTTTTTGGTGCTCTCCATGACTTTTATCATAAGCATGTGGCCTGCGTATCACAATTTAATATTCCACTTCCAGACACTGTGGCTGTAAGAGAGGCACATACTCCTGATGGCCCATGACTCTGGTTTATGTGAAGTGGTAAAATTCATGGTGGTTGCCCACTTTTGATCAAGTAGATTACATTTTTGATAGTCGGACATCAAGATGTTCAGTTCTGGGAACCTTGATGTCTCTCATAACAGAGCAGACCATTTAACTTGCTCTAAAACACATCTTTCCAGTTTGGCTTTCTTTTGCTTACATGTTATATAGAGAATTTTTGTTTTTGTTATATTTCAGGATGCGCCACATCCTTTGCAAGAAATCTAACACATACTGATGAATTACCATGTCTTTTAAGATTTTAATTATCTAAGAAACAAACAAAATCAACTAACACACCTGTTTTTTGTTATCTTGTTCAGATTTGAACTAGAGATATAAGAGTTAAAAACGAAAAAATAAAAATATATATATATAAAAAAAAAAATCCTTGCACCTAAATCCTTAGGGCATAAACCTGACCTTTATGTATCTGCTGCACATGTACTTGTGATATTATGCTTCCTTTTTCCTGGTTTTAGTGGTAAACTAATTGCTATTTTTCAAGAAGAAATGAGAAATATTTGAAAGAAAATTATGCTGATTTTCAAAGTTTAACTATATATATTGTAAGCCCGCTCCCTGTTGAACCTGATTAATATTAACTTCTGCTTTCTCTTTCAATACGTTCAATACGTTTTTATTTAAAACTTTTTTTTTAATATGTAGTTGAACCTATCATTGCAATGATATTTGTTAGTAATTCATGTTTAACAAATACTGTCTGTGTTATTTACAATGAAAAAAAAAAAATCCCCCAAACCATGGCTTCTGGATTATATTTTCTCCCCTGTTAATAAATGCCCTTTATGCTAGTCACCTGTTTTAGTGGATGGGTAATGTGTAACTTTCTCCCACGTCCCAAATCTTCCCGTCCTGTAATTCCTATCTCCCAGCATCTCCATAGTTTATCAATGTAAGTTAGAGCGGCAAATCTCTGGGAATGTCTGTTTTTGCTGAGAAGGTGACCTTATGATGCAGAATGTTTAGGAATGCTTAATGGAGGAGCTTGGTTTCCAGTTAGAAAGACTTACAGTGCTTAATAAAGTCTATTCTTTTAGTAAAAAAATGTTTTTAAAGTGTGGTTTCTTTTTTTTCCCCTCTTTCTTGTGTTTAATTGCAACATGGTCAAAAATGGTCAATACGAACTAAAGAGGAATTTCCTTTTTCAGTTATTATAATTTACTTTCAAAATGAAAACCGATCTAAAATTCTTGCACAATCAAGAAGATAGTTAACATATATAATAAAATAGGGCCTAACTTTGTCTTTATACTTTTGAAAATGGCAAAACCTGGAATATTGATGAGTTTCTGGCTTACTTGCTTTGCCATGCTCCACCAGACATGACGCGGGTGCTTGGGAAAAAAGGCATATAAGTGTATACCATGGGCTAAACGGGCATATGTGAGATACTTGAAGAAATATAGTAGAGGAAGGAATGTCTGTCCTCTTCTCCCCAGTGTTCCAATCCAGTAGATACCACGAAAAGTCTTTACAGTGAAGATATATAGTCTTTAGTGTGCACTGGGAGTCAGGAGATGAGAGTCTGTGAGTAATGGTTGCGCTGTGGTTGCCTGGCACGGCTGCCATCATGCATCCATACATACTTAGTGCCTGTCTCTACAATAGTCTGGTCGATGTGGGCAGCTCATTTGCCAGGATTCCAGTAAAGCAGCATGTGCAGTCCATTTCATTAGGGTGTGCACTAGGAAAATTTTTCCATATGTTTTAATGTAATGTGAAGATTTGTTAAAATGTTGAATGGATGTAGGGTGGCTGTAAGTGTTGTAATTATGTGTGTTATGGCTTTCTGTGCGTGATGTATAAGGCTGGCAGTCTTTAATGTCTGTATAGCTGTGAGTAATGTGTGTGGGTAGCTGTGAGTGATAAGTTTGGACTACTGTGAATGTTGTGCGTGGGAAGTAGCAAAAGTACCGTGATAGCGAACCTATGACACGCATGTCAAAGGTGACATTTCAAGACATTTCGGGTGACGCATTGTTTACGGACGGTCATCGCCCAAGAACAGTGAGCATGCGCTGCGCTTACTTTGTACGCGCTCTGGTTGCTTCTTGCTTGCATCCTAGCGTGTCACGGCAAAGTTAGGGTGAACCCCGGGTCATAGCGCAGCACGGTCTCCTCCAACACTTCTTCTGCGAATGAGCCCAGAACACTGATCCTAAGTCTGCTGAGTCTATTGGAGAACTGTAAGTAAGTTTAGCAATCCTCAACACCTTCATTTCAGCACAAGTTTAATGGGAGAAAGACAGAGCTCTTTACTCCACAGACTCCTGTTTCCTAAAGGCACACTTCATTCTACTGACGGTAAACCAAACCTGCATCAGCAAATTATGCATTTTCTCATTAAAAGATAAAAGCTTCCCTGATGTGAAAAAAATTATTACTATTTAACACATTTTATGTCAAAAGGCAGTGCAGAGAATGTATTTCTCCTTAGACTAATAATGTGAAATCTCTTCACAACCAAGACTTTGTAATTGTAATATATATGAAACTATGTTTATAGAGACACAGCAAACCAATAAAAATAATGTACACTTTGTACTAGCAGAATTATTAGTAAAGGTTTGTCTTGGAAAAAAAAATCTATTTATAAGTATACCCCATACCATTTCCTGTCAATCAATCAATCAGTTGTATGCTGACAGCTGACTAACACAAGAGACCAGGAGAACCCTGCCATAGGCAGTTTGCATTTTGCTGCAAACCTGTCTCATGCTTGCTGGGGTAACATAGGACATATAGAGCTAGAAATATCACAAAATTATGGATATTTTTAGATGTGACATGGCCCTTGAGTTAAGCTAGGTTTTTTGGGGGGGTTTTTTTTAAACGAATTTTGACACACCAAGCTCAAAAGGTTTGCCATCACTGATCTAGTACAAGCTGGGAAGGGAGATTCAAGTTAGCTCCCCCTCAGCCCAATATAGCTGGGGGGAGGTAAGGTGCTGTAAAGAGGGTTCAAAGGCAACAATCAGGGATAGCGGCTGTGGTGATGGGACAGGGACAGTAATACAGTACAACTGAGCAGAGAAAGTGGCCTGGAAGTACAAACCATGTTTTCCCTCCCTACACGGTATCCAGGGCAGCTTGCGATCGCTTGGCATGGGGAGGGAGTGCGGACACAGGGAGACCTTCTGATCTCAAACAAATACAAGCTGTGTGTGTAAAATAAGGCATTAGTGAATTAAAAAAAAAAAAAAAAGGTTAAAATGTGTTTAAAGCAGCTGTATAACTCCGTGGATATCCCAGAAAATCCACAAGGAAATGAACAGAAAACTAGACCTTCTGATATTCCTGCCAACTCACAAGCAACTGGCGCCCTAAGCCACCGTTTAAGTGACCTACTGAAAGCCCCCAGCCCTGTAAACTGCATATCCCAAAAACCCAGTAGGATGAACCCTTTGAATTTTGGACACTTGGGGTGGTTCATCCACATAATCAAATTGACCAGCAAATTGGATACAAGTCAAGGCAAACTGCACCATTAGGACTGCCCTGTCCTATACAGGGTTATAAATATTTCGACAGCAGCTATATTGCCTAAATGTCTAAAAAATAATTTTTTGAGATTATTGCATAACCCCGTCTCCCAACATCGTTGGGTATGAGTGGGTGAGCCAGTGACTTGTGTTACTGGCGAAGTCCAAAATGGGTACCATCCGGATAGGTGGCTATGTCGCCCAGAGAAACCGGGACAGACTTAGACTTACTGACATCCTCTTTGGCCTCAGCACAGTGCAAGCATGTCTAATGAACCCCTAAATCCAGTAACAGCAGGGATACATTCAGGACTGGATTCTGGAAGGTTGGTGGGGGGCAAAGAATTACCTGGATTGCTCATTTAACAACTATACTCATACCAAGTTTAGACATTATTATTATTAGATCCAAGTGGTAATATGAACTCACACAGGTAAGTGTACCTGATTATGGGCAGGTAGTGGGTGAGCAGGTGGATTTATCTGCACATCCTCTTGCAAAGCTGACTTTAAATGGTTTATTTTTGCTTTCAGATAATATATTTCATAATTATCAGAAGTAAGTACATAATGTGAGGGAAATAAATAAATAAATAAAAATAAAGCAAGAGTAGCTACAGAATACTGTTTGGAAGGTGGAAAGGGGAGTCCTTGCCTCTACCAAGATGGCGCATTTACCGACACGAATGTTGTTTCAACTAACTTTATTGATCTGTGTTTGTCGCTGACTGGTGACGACTAAGAAGCGAGGCGGAGCTATTGGAGGTAATGGCGTCGCGAAGGCCTATGCCTCCTCTACTATTGAAGCCGCGGTGTCCGCGGGCTCAGCCCGCCTCTGCCCACCCCCGGGCCGGCCTGTGATCGCCCTGCCGCCCGCTCCCAGCTCGCTGCCGGCCGGAGTGCGCCCGAATCCGGACTCCAGGCTCAGGCCTCGGCCTCAGGTAAAGCGCGGGTCCGGGCCTGTCACTCACACTCACACTCCTAACATTACCCTCTCCCACTCAGCCTGCAGCCCCGGGACACTCACAGAACCCACCGCCGGGAGTGTATTTACTAAACTGCGAATCCAAATTCAGACCAAAATAGCCGAATTGGACAAAACTCTCCAAGTCAGGTTTAGTTTGAGATCAGCTACTCTGGCCTTAAATGTGAAACCCACTCTGAATCCCCCTCCTTAGTAAGTAACCCTGATAATAGCAGCACATTGGTCATCTTAGAATGTTGGCATTAGGAGTTAAGTTCGATACAATTCAGAGTTTAGCGAATAATTCAGAGTTTAGCGAATAATTCAGAGTTTAGCGAATAATTCAGAGTTTAGCGAACAATTCAGAGTTTAGCGAATAAATCCCTTGGTTATTAGTGTGTGTATATATATATATATATATATGTGTGTGTAAATATATTAAAAATGAAAGCGAGTAGGACCTGCCAAAGATGGGGTACATTGATGTTGTGGCAGGCTTATGCAATGTATGATCATATAGGTGTTTTTAATAAAACTAGCAAAATCTGTCAGCTCCAAAGTAGCTGTTTAGTAGATAAGGGAGTGCGCTGGATTTTCATTTTTACTGTACTTATTGGCCCCCAGCAGCACCCCATTTAAGCATGTTCAGGTGAGTGCAGCCTGCCCCTTGTTTATATATATATATATATATTAGTTTACCATACCGATAATTAGGTTGTAAATAACCGTCCTGGTTCTCTTTATTTCAAAGCTGTGAACTAAAGCCTGTTCTATACTCTGTCCTGTTATTTATTGCACGTTTACGTTAAACTAGTTGCTTCATCATTTTATTAGTACCCCACACCATTTCTTTGTAAATACTTCTTTGCCATTTGGTTTATGCTTGGTAATCACAGTATATGTGAGTAATCTATGCTGGTTTCTAATGTTAGCTAATCAAATGAGAAATGATCCATTATTGACCCTAGTGATGACATATAACTCATTTCATGTCCAACAAAATGCAGCTTCTGTTGTGTTTTCTTTGTTTTTGTTTTTTATAATTCTTTATTTTTTTGTGCAAAGAAAAGAAAAATCACAATTTGGCTTGCACTACTACAACAGCAGTGTGAGCCCATAACTGTTATACATTTGAGAACATAAACATAGCAGGTGAGGAATGTTACACATTTTTAAATTATAACAATAGCAAGGCAGCTGAGCGTACATAGACATCAACGTAAGCGGTGACATTGGATACCTGAGGTGTTTTAGTGCTTTAGGCACTAAATTGTTTACTTATTGTTTAAGTAAAAATTAATCACAGATCTAGTTTTGGTTTTCATGTTGTCAGACAGTGGGTCCTAGGCTTTGTCTCCCCGGGCTAGTTTAGCTCAGGTATTCCATTGGGGCCCTATGTGATATATCGACAGCTGTAATTTATTTCCCGTAGGGTATTTGGTGGTTCCCCTGTGGGGACTAGGGGTGTCGGGTGGAGACGGAATGCTAAGGAGTCCCCTGTCTGTTAGAAATTTTGCTCCCTACCAAACACTGGAGTAAAAGTTTGCAGAGTGGTTTTCTTGGGGGGGAGTGTGTGGTCTGTGTGGAGGTGCCTGGTAGGCATTCATTAGTGGGCCATAATTATAAGCTGGGTCTGAGGATCATGAGCAGACTGGTACTCGAGTACGGCCATGGTGGTGGGATAGCTAATTGGCGGTAACAAGGAGGCCGTTACTGCTAAAACAATGCGAAACAGTGGTAATGATAAACTTAATAAACACAAAGTAATAAAACAGTGATGCGGAGGAATGAGAAGACAAAGACATCTGAGAAACCTGGCAAGCAAAAATCAGTCCTGCACAGTGGTTGGATATGTAATCCTCTATGCAGACAGATTGTCTCTGGCTCGGTCATTTTGTTGGCGCTCAGGTCGGCATCGTGTTCTGGGTCGTTCTCGGAGTAAAGTTAGCTATATTTGCAGGGTTGATGTGGAGCAGAGTCCCGCCTGCCCCGTTCTGGGGGGATGTAAGGCTGAGTGATTGCAGGTGTGTTTCCAATTCTTGTAGGCTCCGTGCTTTGTAGGTATTCCCTTCATATGTGAAGAGTAGTGCTCATGGGGTTTCTTTGTTTTTTTTTTTAATACAGTTTTTACCCTCTTATAATTGAATTCTCTTCCACGTTACAAAACTTTAGACCCAAAAGACTGAGTTGGAGAATGCTGTAACAATGTGATCTATACATTTTGATTGATATTGTATTTGGTAACTCTTGTTTCTATCTCCACAGATCATATATTAAAGACAACAGTATTTACTGGGCTGAACGGGCATCATAAATGGATCTCTTTGTTATTTAAGAAGGACACTCCTGCTTGGATTACTATATCTATGGTGTTCTTGTTTGTAGCTGGTCTTTAAGAAACTGAGGATTTTTCACATAAACATTCTCTGTGCAGTATCAGTTTTACCTGCTATAAGATGGCATCGGTGCCTGTGTACTGCTTGTGCCGCCTGCCTTATGATGTGACCCGTTTTATGATTGAATGTGATGTCTGCCAGGACTGGTTTCATGGCAGGTAAGTCTGCTAGCTGGGTAACCGCATTCAGGTATTGCTTTTATGTTGGACTTTACATGTATTTTCTGCATTTTGTAAAAGGGGCAGAAAAACATTGCATTTCTAGTCAATAGTTGTTTTTAAAGCTATGAAATACTAGCTCTGAAATCTGCAGAAAATAAATAAAATCCTTTATCGTGGTTTAACTTTTTGTCTTCCAGTAGGAAGAAAGCAATAAGATAACCTTTACCTAGCCGTGCCTGTGTGCCTCTGTCAGTGTGTGTGTAGTTACAGGGACAGGCTATAGGTACCAGAACAACTACATTAAACTATAGTGTCCCTTTAAAAAAAAAGCAACTGGCTCCTAACTTATTTAGTTGGCTCCTAGATTCCAAACAAATTTATCAAGCCCTGATGTAGTCCCAATGATTGGTTTGTACATCCTTGTTTTATTTAACATTTACATCATGCTGTATGATTGATTTATTGTTTTCTAAATTATTATTTGTGGATTAGGCACTCTTAATTTATTGTATGAGTTAATCCATTCTCTTATTTCATCATTTGTTGACAGCTGTGTTGGGGTGGAGGAGGAAAAAGCTTCAGAGATTGACCTGTATCATTGTCCTAACTGTGAGATCACTCATGGGCCGTCTGTTAGTAAGTAAATACTTTGCAAAGATATGAGAAATTAGTCTTATGTCACCTGGAGCTATTTGGAAGATCTATGTACATTTTGTCTTCTTTACAATTGTGAATTGTAACGTGTACTATTGTGGCTTTGGTGCAAGGAGATATGGCTGCCTTCAGAGTTGTCTACCTTCAGGCAACCATAATACACTTTAATTTGGCTAGCCCAATAGATATTGCCTATTGTTTTTGTACAGGTAATATGGAGGTGATATGTCCACGTTATCTCAGTGTAATTCATAGACACCCAGACCACTTCCACTCATTGAAGTGGTCTAGGTGCAGTCTCCCAGGTCCCTTAACACTGCAAAGGTATTTATTGCGGTTTTTAAAAAAACTGCAATAATTACCTTTTTGGGTTAAGTCCACAACTTGTGTATGTCTATTGGTAGGCACTATAGGGAGTTATAGTGTCAGCAAAACAACTTTGTTAAATGTCGAGTAACCAACCTATGGAATTTAATTCTAATAATATTAATTAAAAACTGCATGTAGAATACCCCTTAACTATAAAATGCTCTTTAGTTAAAAAAAAACATGTTTACTTACCGTAGATTTATTTTTCCAGAAGATTAGAGGCAGTGCTTTACAACTGGGATTTCATCACCATGAGGGAAAAAACAGGCAGGGAACCTCCCCCAATTAACCTTTGGCCTTATAAATTGCTTCCTACCCAAGACATCCCAAGAAATTACAAAAGCTGAATAACCGTACCACTCAGACTATGAACAAATTTTTTGGGGGGAAGTGAACACTGCCTCTAATCTTCTGGAAAAGGAAGAAATCTAGAAATTCTAGCGGATGTATAGCAGAAGTCCTCAGGCACCCGATCTGAACATAACTGTGATCGAAGGAGCTTCAAATGGAGATAGGAGTTAGATAAGAAAAAACCCAAATGAATGCAGACCTTTAAGGTAACGTAGACTAGAACTAAACGCCCAGGCAGTGGAATTAGAATTCCAAGACCCTAGAACGCTGTTGGGAAAAGTTAGAAAAATGATGGAAGATTGGGAAGACTTCAAGAATCCAACTTAACTCCACTTTCTCCTGCTGAAAATGGAAACTTATAGTTCTTCCCATAATTATTTTGGGCGACTACCCCCAAAGACCTAGAGTGAAGCCTCAAATCAGCAGAGTAAAAAACCCCAAAAGAAGATCCCCTGAAGATAGGAACTAACCACGAGAGAGCCTAGCAGATACTGGTAATTTGGAGACAAACCTCTGAAAATCAACTGATAACCGAAATTTGATCTTGAGGATCTCTGGCTTTAAACCATCCAAAGGAAAAAAAAAAAGGTTAAAAACTTGGAAGCGGATGCCTGCTTTTCTTTGAACCAATATCTTAAAAAACACCTTCCATACTAGAAATAAATCTTGGAACAAGATCCATTTATAGTAAAATACATTGTCAATAATTTCCTGAGACAAAACATTATCCTTCAGTATCTGGTATACATAACCAGGTCATCAGCTTGAATTACTACAAATTTGAGAAGCGGTACCCTTGAGAATTCCAGGATGCCTATTTACAGGTCAGATCCCCAAAGATTCCTCCGGATAATTTTAGATGAATGGTGACACAGCTACTTGCCACAAAGGGAGGAAGACTATCCCTCTCACCTTTTCCATCCTATAGGATCTTGGGGAATAGGGAGCCAGGAGGAAACTATAGGTTAGACTGGAATTCCCAAGAAAGAAAAGGAAACCAAAGCTTACTGGTCTGTCCAAGCTTGTCCACTGAAACACTTCATGCTATCTGTTTGATCTAGAAGTCCCAGTTCCATAAGTGGATAATCAAATTCTTCCTATCGTTTGGGTGAAGATCAGGGAGTATGAACCAATCTGCTTTGTAGTAAACGTTGACTACTCAATGCTACAGCTAAACAGAGGAATATTAAGTTCTATGCATAAGTAAATAGACCTAAGAAAACGAACCCAAGCATATCCTGGAACAAGATTTTTCAAACAAGACGACGACCTTGTTTGTACATAATTGCTACCAATGTAGAACTATCCGACCAGATCTGGACAGGATAATACCAGGTCTTTATCTGAAAGGCAAAGAGAGCTAGCCAGATAGCCTTCGGTCCTATGTAGTTGGATACGTTTGTTTTGTTTTTTTTTTCCAAATATCTCTGCTAATTTCCCTTCAACCCTATGAGAACCTAGCTGAGACCTGAAGCATCAGTTGTAAAACTCTGAACGAACGATTTTGAGAACTAGAACAAAAAGTAAGAACCGTCTGGCATCCTTCATTTCTGCCTGGTTCAGAAAGGACTGACCGAAGTATAGGATTTTACTGCAAAATCTAATAAGCAACTGTATCGGTCCACTGAAGGACCTGTAAGCAATGCTATGCCTAAAGAAGCTGAAGAGACCAAGCAGGTTCTTACAAGATGGGAACCAATATTATTTCCCTAGTATCTGGTCTACTGAAGTAGAAGAGAGATTTCAGGTGATAAGGACAGAGAGAACCACAGGTTTTTTTTCTTTAAGGAATTACTATTCTCTGAGAGTCAAAAATATTTACACCCGAACTGTTCCTTGACAAAAACCAGAACTGCACACTTCTTGTAAAGGGAATTCTTTATCAGAAGATTGATTAGCATCCACCTGTATACTGTAGAAAAAAACACCCTAACTTTTATGGGCTGGTGTACAAAAATTAATTAGGTGCCCCTGAGGAAGCAGTATTGTAGAGACTCAACAAATTTATGGATGGCAACGTTTTGCATAGTGAGAGAATCTCAAGTGGCAATTGCCATAAGCTCTTCTTAAATGAAAACGGCAAACAAACCTAGGCAGTAAACCATCCCTGTCATACCGTATCTATGGCAGTGCAGGGTACAAATTGAACTTGGTGGAACTACACCTTGATCAATAGGCCTGCAGCTGTACTAGAACTTGCTGCAAGCCCAGTAACATGAGGAAGAAATAATTTTACATGGAGACTAGTTCATACAAGTTACCATCTTGATTGGCCGAAGCAAGACTGATGATATAGATATACAGTCTGCATAAGACAATACCCATGATCCAGGCCTTCCTTAAAGGACCACTATAGTGCCAGGAAAACACTTGTTTTCCTGGCACTATAGTGCCCTGAGGGTGCCCCCACACTCAGGGTCCCCCTCCCGCCCGGCTCTGGAAAGCGCTGGGCGGGGTGCTCTCTGCCTCCGATCCTCCTCCATTCCTCCCCGACGGCTGAATGCGCACGCGCGGCAAGAGCTGCGCGCGCATTCAGCCGGTCGCATAGGAAAGCATTATCAATGCTTTCCTATGGACGCTTGCATGCTCTCACTGTGATTTTCACAGTGAAAAGCACGCAAGCACCTCTAGCGGCTGTCAATGAGACAGCCGCTAGAGGCTTTGGGGGAAGGCTTAACCCATTTATTTCTCTGAAACTGCTATGTTTATAAAAAAAAAAAATGGGTTAACCCTAGCTGGACCTGGCACCCAGACCACTTCATTAAGCTGAAGTGGTCTGGGTGCCTAGAGTGGTCCTTTAACCGTTATTGGGAAGCAGAGGCTAGAGCAGACAGAATAGCTGCAACTGCATTTCAAAACCTGTTTGATGCAGACTCTGCAGGAACCAATTTCTTTAAAAATGACATTCCAACAGTCAATTAGCTCAAACCTGTCTTTGTAATTGACAACATATGACTTGGAATTTAAGACAAAACATAAAATGTGCAACCATGGAGTGAAGCACAGGAAAAGTTCTGCCCCAGTTGAAAAACAGACTGCCTTTTTAGAAACTGATATCAGGTGAAACTAGTTGAGGTGGTGAGAATGCTAATTGCAACAGAGCTTTGTCTACAGCAATTGCTAAAAGCCTACTGCATGTTTTAAGAAAATAAACACTGCGGCTAGGATCCTGGAATTTAAAGAATCCATCTGCTACAACAGTATATTAACTTAACCAAAACCAGAAATTAAATATCAGCCTCCTAAGGATAACATACAGAGGATAATCCTCCAATAGTCATACGGCTCTTGCTCCGGTGAATATATTCCACTGGAACACTTCACTTAATTACTGACCCTGTTGCAGCAATTAGTGATTATTGAGGCTCATATTAACTAATCACTGTGTAGCAGCTATTTTGAGCCAGAAAGGAAACTTAAACTTTCCCAATAGAATTATGTAAAAGTATATGCTTATCTAATACCCTTTATAGGCTTTACTCAAAGAATAATCTATGTTTTAGAAGAAGAAAACCAAAGAATCTATTATGGGCCCGATCTACTAAGTGCTTACACTTTTGTTTTAAGATTTTAGGAATAATCTTTGTGATGAGAAGCTAAAAACTCTCCAACTTAGAAACATTTGCACTTTTTTAGCTTATCCATCTTGCAGAACAGATAATTAACTTATTCAGGCTAGAGTCATTTAAGATAAAAGCAAAAAGGCCTTAAATGTCCTCAGTGTGTTGGAGGTTGGTGAGAACACACTTGCAACAGATTCTGAGTGCACCTGGCAACAGTTAGTTGCTGTTGGGTAAACAGCCTCTCTAAGTCCTGGAAACCAATATCTTGACCCTGGAGAGAAAAAACAAAGATATTAGCGCCTGAATTTTAAATCGCATTACGCATGTCCTGCATTTCGCGATTCCACGGTGGAAATAAACGTAACCTGTACGAGTGTTGCACCGTCAGGACTTCTCAGCTAGTGCCCAAATGCGCACCATCGTCTGCCCGGCACCTGTCTTGGTATAGACGTAAGTAATACAACTCGGGGAGATACAGCCGTCTGGTGTGTTATCCCTGGCCGATCTCCTAAAAGTTTATTTAAAAGAAGTAGAGCCTCAGCCCTCTCACCATACTTCTAGGGAGAAAACCTGACACCCTCCTCTGCCGGAGGCAGGCAAAGAACTAGGGATGTCTTGGGTAGGAAGCAATTTATAAGGCCAAAGGTTAATTGGGGGAGGTTCTTGAAAAGTTTGGGAGATTGCCTGCCTGTTTTTTGAAATCCCAGTTGTAAAGCACTGCCTCTAATCTGAAGGGAAAAAATAATTGAGGGTAAATGTATCCAATTGCATTGCTAATGGACCAGGGTTTTTAAAAATAATTTGGTGTGCTCCAATATTTTGGTTTTATTTGTGTCCTCATTTGTCTTTTTTGTTCTTTTTTTCTGTTCAGTGAAACGCCGGCGTGGCGTGAAACAGGATGCTGTTTTGAGCAAAGACTTTGGAAAGCCAGTGCAGACGGGAAGTGCGTGTTTCATCAAGGAGTTAAGGAGTAGGAATTTCCCCAGGTAACCAGAGCTCCTGTTCGTTATTTGGGCTGTCTATCCTGGCATTCTATCCATACCTGTTTTAACAAACACTATCAGGAGCCCTATGTATAAGAAAAGATCAAAGCTATAACTGGTGCTTTAATACCAATATCTAGCCCATATAACTTTATCTCCTTATACACGCCTCATCCCAAGATTCTGAAAGGGTCAGTGTTTCATCAGAAATTTTATATGACTTAACACACGAAAAAGTTTTCATGTGCCGATAAACATTATGTAAGTTGCTTTCTACATCTTCATAAATCTCTGCATCTTAAAGAAATGTCAGGAAGAGTCAGAAGAAAAATAATAATAATAATAAATAAAAAAAAAACAGACCTGTATGAGATCCAGGCTTGGTTCTGATTGTCGGCAATCATTTTCACAGCCAATTACAATTATTTATATTAAACAAGATTTGTTTAGTGCTAACAAAACATGTATGTCATGTGGGTAACCGTGTGTGAACAGAGCCCTGCCCAGACAAACTTATGTTCTTTCTAAACTTATCTTAAAGTCCTCTATAAATTGCAAATAAATAAGAAAAAAATATATATTTTTAAAAAGGTAAAAAGTAGAATCCTATCTCTAAGTGCATTTTTATTTTTTTTATTTACTTAAAAAGTGGCAAAATCTACATAATCATGAGCATTGTAATTTACTTGTTGTCACTTTTTAAGTAAACAAGTGGATATTATTTATTTTTATTTTATTTAACATTTTATATATTTATTATCCTCCTTCCTCCTTTCCTGTTTTAAACTAATAGACGGTTTGACCAATGATATTTTTTTGGTTTTTATTTTTTTTACTATTTTTTTATAATTTTGGCTGTGTGCGTAGTAGGTTTGTTTGGATTATTTCCTATTGGGGGAGGTGCTGCTGCTACTACGTAAAATATTCTATTACTTATTTTTATTTTGCGTTTATTTGTAGAGCTGCTGACTGAGCACCATTTTAATATTGTGTGGTAGAACGTTAAAGGTGTTTTTTGTTTTTGTTTTAAATGGACTTCATGTTCTTTTATCATATTCGTATTCTTGAAACTGAATTTTGACTTAAATGTCCAGTGCAGACGAGGTGATCCTGAAGCCACAGGGAGCTCAGCTTACCGTGGAGTACCTGGAAGAGAACAGCTTTAGTGTCCCAATTCTTGTCCTGAAGAAGGATGGGTTAGGGATGACCCTTCCTCCCCCGTCTTTCACTGTGAATGATGTGGAGTATTATGTGGGTATGTTTAGAGCTTTTTTTTAAAAAAAATTTTTTATTATTCTATATAATTCCCTTTTTTTTTTTTCTCAACTTTTTTGTGTTTGTCCCTAAAGGTATAAATGTATTTTCTCTTCCCCGTTACAGGTCCAGAGAAGGAGATTGACGTAATTGATGTAACGAGACAAGCAGATCTGAAGATGAAATTGAAGGATTTTGTAAAATATTACAACAGTCCCAAGAGAGAGAAGGTGTTGAATGTAATCAGTTTGGAATTTTCTGAGACCAGGTCTGTGTTTATGTTGGATTACCATTATTCCTAACACCCAGAAAAAGTATTAGTATTAAACTTTTATTAAAGATAGATCTAAACTTGTTTGCAGATATTTAGTTTTACAATGCAGATCCAAATGTTTATTTTTGCTGTGTTACATTGAAAACTCAATAGTTAGAACAACTATTCCACCTCCCATACTCCATTATTTTTGGAATAGCAGCAGGAGTGCATGTTTGGGTAGTGTGTGCTATTTCAATTTTGTGGTTGTGGAGTACTTAAACCTAGAATTTAGGACAAACCTTTTTTGTGGACATCACAGCTTTATAAATGTTGTATCATTTCTAAATACTGATGTGATTCCCACAAGCCATAGGTTTCGGTGTATTTTATTTTTAACTAGATTTCTGCTTTGGCAGGTTATCTAACTTGGTGGAGACTCCAAAGATTGTGCGGAAGCTTTCCTGGGTTGAGAACCTTTGGCCAGAAGAAAGCGTGTTTGAGAGGCCTAACGTCCAGAAATACTGCTTGATGGGAGTGAAAGACAGCTACACAGATTTCCACATTGATTTTGGAGGGACGTCTGTCTGGTACCATGTTCTAAAGGTAAATATTTTGAAGCAACAGTATTCAAATGTCTTCATCTCATTAATGTATTGACTCCTTATTTTATTGGAGCTACACAGTATTATCTTGAGTATAAAAATTACTTTTATAAAATGCACTGTAGAGAGAAGTCCCTTTGAAATCCCAGTAATCCTGAATTGTATAACAAAAGATTGGTAGAAGTAATGATTTCATTGAGCCCTAATATTCTGTAACCCACTTTATTTTCCCTTACTCAGGGAGAGAAAATATTTTACCTGATCCATCCCACCAAAAGCAATTTGGCTCTGTTTGAATGTTGGAGCAGCTCCTCCAACCAAAATGAGATGTTTTTTGGAGATCAAGTGGATAAGTGCTACAGATGTCCTGTTAAGCAAGGCCAGACGCTCTTCATCCCTACAGGTGAATAATCTTGGACAGGATAATGAGCTGGTGCTGTGATCCTTGTTCTCTGAGTTCCTCCATTTGCTTTTCGTTGTTTGCTCAGACAACTGTCTTTCTGTTCCACAGGGTGGATTCACGCCGTGCTCACTCCAGTCGAATGTCTTGCATTTGGTGGGAATTTCCTGCACAGTCTGAACATATCCATGCAGCTAAAGTGAGTAGTGATGTGTGAAAGAGGAGAGGAAAAAACTCTTCTAACTTCTTCTTTCTTCAGTATGTGTCTTTATTCCATCCACAGTTTTTCTGATCTGTAAGCACTTGTAAAACATTTGTGATTTTAAACATTTTCTTACCCTAACTTTTTCTGTTTCTTTCCTTCTTTCTCTAGAGCGTATGAGATTGAGAAGAAGTTAAGCACTGCTGATCTATTTAAGTTTCCAAACTTTGAGTCAATCTGTTGGTATGTGGGGAAGCACTTACTAGACACTTTCCGTGGTGAGTCACATGGGCACAACTTGGTCTTGATGTACATAGCACTGTCATTGGTTGGCTATTCTTATGTGACTGTGGTCTGTATTTCAGTGGTAGGAACATGGTGATATCAACATTTGTCTTGCTACTAGTTCTCCTTTTGAAAGCTCTTATAACATATAAAGATGACCTATTGCGGAATTCACTGAATTTTATGCAAATTATTGAGTTCTTTGCTTTCGCCCCATATTATGTGTATACAGGACTGCGAGAAAACAGGAGACACCCAGCATCTTATCTACTTCATGGAGCCAAAGCCCTTAACACTGCGTTCAGAATCTGGACAAAGAAGGAGGTGTGCTTTCTCTCTGTCATACGTGGAAGATGATTAGCCTGTAGAAGTGCATGTTGGAATTTGCTGCAGAATTCACAGTTTAACATTTTTCTGCATTGCTTACATGCTATCATATTAGTTTTAAAACAGTACAATCCTATGGTGGGAGGGAGTTTCTACCTACTGTAGCATCCTTAAAATGTGTACTGGCTTTAGTAGGGTGGGAAGTCCAATTTTGATTGGCTAATGCCTTTCCAGATTTTTTAAAATTTCGGAGCAAAATACTCTTCCACAGAAATTTTATTTGAGCTATTAATTCCCTCTTACACATACACACAACACACATTAATTCTCAGACTCACAACCCACTGAATTTGCTTGGAGGCGTCAACATATTTTATATGTGAAGGAGCCTGATACAAAATCTAGTGTCCATTTAAATCTAGAAATGTTCCCCAGGGTGTTTTTTGTAATGTTACATCAGATGTTCTTGTTCCACTTGTCAGTCCTCCTCCATTTGATATATTTATCTATTCTAGGCCTTAATGGATCATGAAGAGGAAATTCCGGAGACCATTGTTACAACTCAGCTCATCAGAGATCTTGACCGTGAGATCCGACTGATGGAGGTAATAAAATTTAATGCGGTGTTCTACCAAGGTTTGCCCTTGTTTTAATACGATGCATTTTGTGTATTATCTCTTGGTAATTTCCAGTCTTTGTTTGTCATACTTTCTGTGCCCATAATGATAGTGTATGAATAATCTGAAACTTTTTATCTGTTAAAGGAACACTACACACCCCTAAATCAGCTTAGCTTGTTGTGTGAAGTGTGTCCATCCCCCCATTTTACAATAAGTGCAGATTTCAATAGAAATTGTCACTTTTATAAATTAGGCTTGTTACTCCCCCTGGCTGTCAATCAGACAACCCATCCTGTTACTATCTGGTTGTTTTGCTCAGTGGAACTAAACTCAAGTGGCAAACAATCTCTCAGAACACCTGCCTTGCAAAGACTTCTCATGGAGCTGCATTGGGAAGTCTGTGATTGGACAGACTTTCTGTGTCGGGGAAAACCTGTTTTGAAGATAAATTGCCAATAAAGTAAAGAAATGCATAATTAAACACACACATGTTTTCATTGGGTTATATCCACTAACTAGTGTTTAGTGGGGAGGAAGGAGGGTAGGGGCAGCGGAATGTTCTTTTAAGTATCATTTTGAGGGGTGGGAAACTGCTGTGCGCTAAATATACAGAATCTATGAGACCCTGTATGTCAACCCGCAGGACATCTTTCATCAGAACCTAGAGAAGACAGGCAACCTCTTGGGTCTTACAAGAAGTCCTTTGCCTGGCACCAACTCTCCCTCCAAAACCACCCTTCCATTAAAGAACTCCAAAAAGAGGGCTTCTAAACCAAAGGAGCCCCTTAAGAAAGGCGGCAGGAAGGGCAAAGAAACGCAAGAAACTAACAGTAACCCTGAATCACCTGGGACTCCCACAAATCAGAACCAGAAGAAAGCCGTGACACCCAAGAAAGAAAAGGTAGATTTCTGTAGAACAAACGGGAGGACAAGTTATGTCTTGCATATATCCATCTATTTATCTTTCTTCGCTATTCTTTTCAAACTTCTCCTGGCAGCATCCCCTGAATGATAAAAAATATAAATTTTGCTGGTGGAACCGGAGTTGTCAATCCTGTCAGGGCTCAAAATTTCCATTCTCCCTTAGTCATTAATGAGTGAAAATGTAGAAATCCACTCTTGGATGGGTATTCTAAGGCTTGCAGTGGTGAATAACGTTTAAGGCCTGACTTGTTGCATAGGGCTGCAAATGTTAAGCCCTGATCCTGTTATATGCTTTTCTTTCTGTTAGTCTTTGTTTCTTGTGCGTGTGTGTGTGTGTGTGCGTGCGTGCGTGTGTGAACATAAGTTCTTTCTCTATTTCTGTTCCACAGCTTTTTTTTTTTTTGCTTTTTTTTCCTGGCAGTTGGAGTGCCAGATATTGGTTGTCACTTGGTATTCCAGTTACTTTAGAATACATGCGGAAATTGACAGGAATTTTCCAGGACATTATAAATATTTGTCCAGAATAAACCCAATGTTACTATTCTCCAAGACAATCATATAACAAGCTCTGCTATTTTTGGCTTTGAATTCTTGTAGGGACTGGATTTAACAGAGGCATTGGGTGGCATTAATATTAGCCCATCTGTCACTAAATACTGCAACTCATTGAGATGAGCTCTGTGAATAATTTTATTACATCACAGCTGTAGTAGTAATGGCAAATAAAGTCAGTAAGTTCTGCCTGCACATTGTTTTATTAACCTACATATTGGTGATTTCCCAGTTTAATACAAATACACGGTAAAAGTATCAAGCAATACACTTTTTTTGTTTTCTGTAGAGATAATAAATCTCCACGATCCTTTATCTTCCTTTTCTCCCAGAGTTGCAATTGCCAGAAGTCATACGCTATATTACAGCTGCTCAGCTTTTTTTTTTTTTTTGTTCTGGAGATTCGGATTGTGTGGTTAATTCTCAATTTCCACATATCACTGCTTGCTTGCCCCACTCACCCCTGCAGGATTTGTGTTCATGGTGGTCTGAACCTAAAATTCAGACATGTTGTACGTAGCATCTTGATTACATCTGATCTATATCTGTCTTGTTTGTTTGGGCGTTATTCCCCTCTTGCTTCTCTGTACATTTTTTATATAGTTGATAGTTTTCACTTTTTTCGCCCCTTATCTTAGGTGGATGACTCCCTGGATTTTATGGATGAGGACCCACAGGGCTGCCTCTTGGATGCTGAAATAGCAGAGAATAAGCTGAGGCTGGTACTGTCCAATGGAAACAACATAGGGTAATGAGTTTGTACGTCTTCTGTGCTAGAGCACTCAAAAGTAGACCTTATTTCCTCGGTTGACAGGCCTGATATAATTGCATTAAACGTATTTGCTGTTCTTAAGTGATTTGTGTGCTCTCAAATCTCTTGCTAGATAGTCTCTTACTATCTTGCAAGGCAGCGAGAGTGTCTCTCTTAATGCTCCTAGTGACAATAAGCAGAAAACGCCATCATGAAAGCAGCTTATCAGGAATAAATTCTTGTGTTTCAAAAAATAGAAATACACGAACTAAAGCCTTGCATAGCATTTTGATCTACATTTATTTCTGCTATGGTGGTTTGCTTTTGTTGTAGGTTTTGTTTAGATGTTTTAGTTTCTCTACAGAACCAATATTAAGTTTTTGTGTTTGGGGTATATATGTGTGGCTCATTACATTATACAGAATATTGTAAGTTTATATTGGATTTCTGACCAAAAAGCATGGAATCCACTGACTTGTACTATATCATTCTCTTAGTGGGAAAAAGGTCCGTGTTGGAGCGGGCAGCAGGCGACTATTTGCCGCAAATAAACAACCCAAAAAGGAACAACTCGAAGCAGATCTGTCCCCGGGAGACCCTTTCGTGATGGATTCTGAGGATGACTTGCAGATTGATGAAACGCCACGGAAGGAGAAAAAGCCTGTACTTCCAAAGAGAAAACTCAGCAGTACGTACTCACCAGCATGTGATTCCTGCCCATAGTCCTCCAACATGGAATGCTTTAATCCCTTTCATGTGGCAAAGAGGCGAGAGAAATATTTATACCTTATTTATTCACAAGTAGGTCTTTAACCGCTGTGGAACATCTCACTAAAGAATCTTTGGAGTTGTTTCACAAACGGCTGGTGGGTGACCCCCGGGTTATGTGTAAACTATTTTAGACTTAATGACAGAACATTAGAAAGTTGAAGCTGTATAGCACTTTATAGAGTGAGACTTATTTCCTTGTGATGAACTGCTTGAAATAAAGTTGGAGTGCAAAATATTTAGGAAATGCTACCATTTCAACAAAATGTATCCCACATTAAAAAGTGCCAATCCTATCAACTGATGATTATTCACTTTTTAAGTTTAGGTGATCTTACTGAGTTTTCATTGTTTAGAATTCCCTAGAAAGCTACCTCGTGCAAAGCCCTGCTCCGATCCAAATCGCGTCAGAGAACCTGGGGAGCTGGAGTTTGATGTTGAGGTAGGTTAATATCCGAGTCGATCATAAGTCTTTTCGGCTGTGATGTAAATATTCACATTTCTGAATTATCCAATCTTTATTAGGAAGATTACACAACAGATGAAGACGTAGAGACAGCTGATGGAGACCTGGGCGCTAGCAGTGGAGGGATATTAGACCTGCTGAAAGCGAGTCGCCAGGTTGGAGGGCCAGACTACTCTGAGCTTGAGTAAGGAAAATGGAGCATTTACCAATATTAAAAATTTGGGGCTTTTACCTTTTATAGTTTATTTTGTAGCTAGGCATTTTGTTAAATAAGTACATTATTGTCACATTTAAATAGGTCTATTGTTTTAGTTACAGACACCGTAATCGACTGTTCTTTGAATATATTGAATAATTGTATCTTAACAGTCCACTAAGTGAATTCTGGGTGGCATTAATTTTAAATTTGATGTAATACCATAAGTCAAGTTACAACATTATATGATATAAATTTCTAAATTTACATTTTTTTTATTGTCTCTATCAATTTTCCCACCTTTTTAAAGGAATTTTATTTTTTTGTGCATGTTTAATTCTTTATTACACTCTTTACAAATATATATTGCTTGCAATTCTTCCCTAATATTATTCATATTTTTCTGTATAGGGAAGCACCTGCATCTCCCAGCACACAAGAGGCTATCCAGGGAATGCTGTGCATGGCCAACCTCCAGGCTTCCTCTTCTTGCACTCCTTCCAACCTTCAGGCATGGTGGGCAGCTGGTCAGGACAATAGTGCTGGGTTAGGGCTACCACAAGGAGGCGGTAAAGCTGCTGGAAGCAACAGCAAGAGTGGTAGTAATGGGACAGGTAACAGCAAAGTAATTCTGCGACCTGGTAAAAGACCTGTAAAGCGGCCGGTACATCGCAGTATGGACAGTGAGGACGAAGACAGTACTGATGAGCAGGAGACTTTGGGTGCCTGCTTTAAGGATTCTGAATATAGTAAGTATTGACGTGGGTGTTAGATCCGGTATCCTTTACTAGGTACTCTAATTCATTGATATCTCTACAGTGTTTTAAAAATTAGTTTACAATAGTTAATTTTTTTTTCTTCTTTGTATCAGTGTTGTTTCTCGCTGCCTCTTCTACACTGACATTGAGCATCCTTTTCTCTCTTCAGTTTATCCATCGCTGGAGTCTGATGATGACGACCCGGCGCTGAGATCACGTCCCAAGAAGAAGAAACAAACTGACGATGCTCCATGGAATCCAAAAGGTACAGAAAAAAAATTAACCTCTGGGTTGGGACCAATATCATTAGGCTGATTCACCTTGATTTGGAACAGTCATTAGTCAGGCCTCAATAGTTTTACCTAGCTGGTCTATCATTCCAAGCACGCTGAGAACTCTTTTAACCTCTGGAAAGGTTTTACGTTCTTTTAGTATGTATTTTCTATTTATATGGTTCTGTAAATAAATGAGCAACCAAGCTAACTTTAGAATATAGAATTAGTCCCCAAACCTAGTGTCATGTGAACATATTTTGGGTTTCGGTTAATAAAGGTTTGGAATAACGCGCTATCCCAAATATTTATCAACATTTTAGCTAAAAAAAAATCTCCGCTAAATAGCAAAGTCTTTTCAAATCGTCTGACTTTTTGCCGTAGGTGGTTTACGGAGACAACCCTTATAATGACATGAAGTTAAACCATTTATTGTCAAAGTCATTGCCTTTTCCAATACCTCACCTGAAACTCCTCAAATTACAAAGACGTCTTATTAAAACTTTCTATTTACTTCCTTTCCTTAATAAACACTTTTGAATGTATCTTATTTCTTTGGTTTTCATTCCAGCACGCGTGACTCCAACACTTCCTAAGCAAGCCCGTCCAGTACGAGAGGGAACACGTGTAGCCTCTGTTGAAACTGGGTTAGCTGTGGCTGCTGCAAGACTCTCCCAGCAGGTGCTTATCAGCCAGATCAGACTTTTGGTTCTCTGTCTTGAGTTTCTAGGGCATGGAGTGTAAGAAATGCCATTAGACTTATTGGTATTTGTTTTTATAGGAACAGCAGAAATCTCTTAAGAAGAAAGTGACTTGTAAGAAGAAATCACCAAGTGAGCAAGATCTTCCTCTTCTTCCAGTTGAGCCAGACCCTCCACCAATGCCACAACCTGAAACCCACACTGAGGTTTTCTCTGGCAGTCTGGCTGACCATGAATACACAGCAGGACCCAATATTTTTGGTATGGCTCAGATAAACAGGGGAACTACGCCTATGGCACCTGGTGTCTTCTTATCTCATCGGCGGCTATCTGCATCCTCTCCAGGAAGCCAAGGAGTTCAGGGTAAGAAATGCATGGTCTGACCTGTACATTCTGCTACGCGAGGTGTAGTTCAAAGTGCATCAGAATTCTGTGTTTTGGCTCCACCTTTGTATTGGCATTTGATTACTGTCTCTTCATTTTTTTTTCACTGCATATTTTTTTTAATTTTTTTTTTAATGGAATGCATGTGAATACCATGGCATGTAAGTCCACTTAAAGGGACGCTTTAAACAACAAAACAATTTTTTTTTTTCTGCAGCCTGACAGGTGTAAACATTGCCATTTCTAGAGAAATGTCAATGCCTAATTTTGTAAAAAGAGCTTACCTCTAGTGGATGTCAGGCTTACAGCTGCTAGAGGATTTTTATCTTGAGGACCATGAAGGTTATTTTGTTTGGCGTCGTCACACCCAGCATGATGACGCTAAATGCTGACTATTCTCGTAGAGAAGCATTGGGATAATACTATTCTATAAAAAGCATCCAGTTGGTGGAATGTTGCATTCGCTGCCCATGCACCATTGGTACCCTATTCTCTTCTATAAGAAGCTTTAGATTGGACCAGAGAGTATCGGAATGATGATCTCACAGAAGGCGGAGAAGCTTCTGTAAAAAATAAATCCTGAATATTGTAACACTTAATATGTTTATAATGTCAGTGGTCCTTTAAGCAGCATAGCTTACTTTGCATTTCATATATCAAGTTTTGATTTCAAACTTGATTCAGTCCAATCCTTTATTTGAGGTAAGAGAGCCTTCATGGTTATTTTGTAATGGCGTTGTGAATGTACTTGTACGAAGGCAAAATAACAAAATTCTTTACTTCTCAATTCCAGGAAAACGGCCCAAGAAAGGCTTGGCTACTGCTAAGCAAAGGCTGGGGAAGATCCTGAAAATCCACCGGAATGGGAAACTGCTCCTGCTGTGACCCCCTCCATCCCATTTGCTTCAAACCCTTACCTCTTCCTTCCCAGCCTCGTTGAAATTATCCAGCACCGGGTTAAACTAGCTCAGAACAGATTCTTACCTGCAATGAACACTTATTTTTATACTTTCAAACACAAAAATCAAGTCTTTTACACCGCCACCTATGAAAAACAAACCAAAAAGACTATGTTCTTCTGGGGCATCTTCAAGAGACGTTTGTTGGATGGTTCACCAAACAAAAACTCATTTCTCAATAGCCTGGTGTGTGTCCTGGGTAATAGACTGTGGCTTTTTTTCCTGCGTTGCCCTCTGCATTACTCACATGTTGTATACAATGGCGTGGACACTTAGTGGCAGATTTAGGTATTTACAAAACCTAGAGAGCGGAAGCCTTAGCAAAAACTTAATTTGGTTCAGTAACGTTTTATAGCCAGATTTTCCAAGATTGGTTAGTAAATTTGTGCAGTCTAAAGCCACCTCATCCCTGCCCCCCACCCCACTACTCTAAAATTGTTTCCAAAAGGGTAAATTTACTCTGTTGAACTACACCAACGTAAGGTGATCTATGTGAGACACAAGCTGTGTTATCCACGCTTGTACCAGTGAACTTGTAATGACAACAACTATGGTGTGCCTGCCACCAAGCAAGCTACTTTTATTCCCAGTGATTTTTGGCTTGTTCCTGCCCATAGCTTCCTGATTGGAGCAATATCAGAGAGCTTTGCAAATGGAGTCATGCAACCTTATCTGCAAGGACCTATCTGTACAATGTACATTAGCGACAGACCGGTCCAATTGTGCGCTCTCTTCCCAATAATTGCACTTGGAATGGAAAATCCTTTATCTGAAGACTGTAAGGCCACCGTTACTGCATATGAAGTATCCCAAGAAGGACAAGTGAAGGATCGATACAGCAGTATCAGACTGAACCATAAGCCTGCAGAAACGTCTCACTGCCTGTAGTGCAAAATTTAGTGCACAGCCCACTCCTGTGCAAGGTTGACTGAACACAATGCTGTCACGTTGTGATGTTAAAAGTGGTTTGACCTGCATTGTTGGAAATCTTTTTAAAGGTGTCCCATGTTTTTATCTTGCTGTCCAATCCTTGATTTCTTTGAATTGTGGGTACATTTCTCAAGTGAGGTGTAGCAGTAACTAGTCTTCTGGGTGGAAGGAAGGTGATGGACTGGCATGGATATAAGAGGGGATGCAAAAAGACTTGTCTAAATTTATAATGGTGTAATCTTAAAGCAGCAGTACTTGGTAGTTGTTATAAAGGGTTAACATTACTCTCCACATTGTTATATTATGATATTCATAAGAATTTTCCCACCCTTTTTACTACAGCCATCTGTTGTGTGATGCAGTACACAACGACGACTTAAAGGGGCACTGAAGGCAATCAGACCACTTCATTTCAATGAAGTGGTCTGGGTGCAGTGTCCATCTCTAAGCCTGTAGTGTAAAACACGGCAATGCTTACATTGCAGCGCTAACATGTTTCTAATTGCAGTCGGGAAGACAGCACTTCCTCTGCTACAGTCAAACTCGGTAATGGATTAAATCCTGTATTTTGTGCTCTTGTGGAAGGATACTGATCAAACCTGAAAGGAATAGCTTCAGATTAACATTCTTTGAAGGAGTTGTTCAAAGGTTAAATGAGGATGGAAGTTCTCTACACTTCACTTGATTGCGCAGAAACCCCAAATAACCCGATTTAAAGTTACACTACGGGCACCATAGCAACTGAATCTGAATTAAGATGTTAGGGTGTCCAGAGGTCCTTGCGGTGGTTTACTTTTAGGGCTTAAACCATTAACAGATGGTTTAACCCCAAAGTGTTGATTCTAGCTCTGCCCCTCTCCTACTGTTTTTGTCTGAGGCTTGAATTAAATGGCTTTGGATAGAGGCACCAGAGACTTCATTCTGATGAAGGGTCCCTATAACTCAATTTAGAGAGGTATCTGACACACCTGAACCCCTTAAGGACCAAACTTCTGGAATAAAAGGGAATCCTGACAAGTCACACGTCATGTGTCCTTAAGGGGTTAAAAGAGAATAAAAAGCAAACACGTCTTTAAAACTCCATTAAAAATCAGAGTAATAGCAACACCATTGCTAATTTATTCTGTCACAGTAGACCCAGATTTTATAGAGTGGTCCACTTTTTGACAGTTTTTTTTTTTTTTTTTCTCCTAAGCCACATTTCCACTAGAGAAGTACAGATAAGTGCTTCAGTGTTTTTACTTATTTTTTTGTGCATTGGGACATACTGCCCAAGTTACATACTCTTAAAACTGCAAATTTTCTTTATACATTGGCGTTAATCGGAGAGGCTTGTAAATAATTGCTGACCTGCAAAAAATCTTCTTTCTTTCTTATCTTATTGTAAATAGAGATGAGTGAATTTTTTTACTCTGCTCTAATCCTTTGCACATCACTTTCTAATGGTAAAATGTTATTTATTTATTTTAAACATTTTTCCTGCCACTTCCAATTGGGCATATGATTTTTGATTCATATAAGGCAGCAATTTCTGTTTTGCCCACTTCCCTAGTACTCTGTTAAAGATACAATCTTGGTGACCTACAGTAATAAAACAGTCTTGTCGTTTTTTTTCCCCGTTGTTATATAAAAGTGAAGGTTTGAATAGAAGACAGCATTTTTATGAATGTAAATCCATAACTTCCTAGTTGGTTAGCTCAGTAGAGGTGCTCTGTTTTAGAACGTATTGAGAAGTGTGTGATTGGACACGCACAGAAAGTATGGGCTGAGTAACAAGGGGAGGGCTTGCAGTTACTAAACTACAGCTATTGCAGGCCAAGATTTCATATACCCCACAAAGCAAAAAACAAAATTACATGCAAATTGTCTTCGTGGGGGATCTACTATTTTATTTTATTTTTTAGGAGTCTTCCATTAAGTGTGATGAAACTTGTCAGTTTTGTATTTCTTTACAGATATCCTGCATTTTGTAGAAATCAGCTACTATGAGTTATGGATTGACATCAAGAAAACACTTGATACTTTAAGCATGAGTAGTTCTAAAATAACTTTATCTATATCCAATAGAGCTTGGTTATTCAGAAGAAATCCCATAAAGTAATTTTCCATAATTTGCCTGTACTAGTAATTCTAGGTATTTAGCAGGAACAATAGATTTAAAAAATTCCCTTATTTTCAAATATGTCCCAGGACATAGATGTCCTTATCATTCTTCGTATCTTTGTATAATTTACTGAGTTCTTTCACTTTAAATCTACATCTGTTCTTTTGTAAAAAATAATATAAAGTTTAATTCGAGCATTGATAGTCATCCTTGTTAATGCATGAGGACGTCCAGTGTCAGGCAACCAAAAGTCGTCTAGCAACTCAGATGTCCCTCTAGTGGCTGTCTGGTAGACGTCCATTAGAGGTGGAGTTAACCCTCACACGTAATTATTACAGTTTGTTTAAAACTGCAGTAATTACCTTTGCAGTGTTAAGGGGCCATGCACCCAGAACACTTCAATGAGCTGAAGTGGTCTGGGTGCCTACAGTGTCCCTTTAATAAGGGAATTGGAAATTTGGAGGTAAAACCAGCCACAGTGGAAGAAATTCTCCAAATACAGTAGGACGCTTTTTTTTTTGTCTGTCTCTTGCCATTTACCTGTCAATTATCTGCATTTCCAAGTTATGCACTTATTCCACTAGATTTCTACAGTCACTTATGAAATTGTCCACCGAGTTCAAGTGAAGCTCATATACTCACTGTTTGTGTTCTGGAATTTTGCACTTGTACACTTACGTTTGTCTGTTTGTATATATATTTCAAAAATGTCTTACTGTAAAGTACTGCTGCTTTAAGATGATTAATCCTACTGCCAACTTGTCGTAACAAGAAAGGGAAAATGCATTATTTTAATTTTGTCTGCCCAGCTCCCCTATTCATTCCACTGTTTTGGCTCAGGAAGACATCAGCAAATGAAAACATATGGTTTACACTAGCCATGGGAAGGTTACTTTTTGTATTATTAATTGTAAGTTTTGGGAGGTATGGGGGGCTTTTTTGGACACACAAAAGAAGATTTTTAAAAAAAAAATAATTTTAATTTTATTTTTGTTTGCTGAAGCAGCTTTGCAGATGTGTGGGTTCTTCTAACTGCATTTGCAGCTGCAGCTATGTTTGAGAGCTCTTAAAGCTACTTTTTTTTATTTGTCCTGGTTTCTGTTTACTTATATTATTTATATATATTTTTAGAAAGCCTTGTTCTTTTCTTAGATATAAAAGTATGCAGCTGCCTCCTTGTGCTTTTGTCGTGTGTCTGCCATCATCAATTACTGAAATTGTAGAAAAGATGAAAAAAAACAAAACACCACCACGCAACTCAGAACTACAGCGCTATGGCATTTGCTGGCGCTATGTAAATAATAAAATAATAACCAGAAGGGAAGCTCGCCTAACCAAGGCCTTGATTTAATAAGCTTTCCAAATGATTCGTTGATTTCAAATTATTTAACTACAAAAAGTCCCATAGATTTTAATGGTGACGGCTATAGACAAAACCATTTGAAATGTTTTTGTTAACCCCATTGAATCATTTTTGAAAAGTTTATTAACTCGAAGCCCAAGTGCATATTCTTTGGGTGCTGTAGAATTGACTGATTATATAAAACAAGGGTTGTCACACGACATATCATATATAACATCTTTGAATTTATTTTTTTTTAAATTAAGAGGCATAACAAACCATGCATTTTAGTAACTAGTTTTCAGAAGTGTAACATCCAAATTAAACCTTTTAATGAAACATTTTATTTTTATTAAAACATAACCAAATGACAGTCAGTAATAGTTCAGCATGACTGCCTTTACTACCATTAAGTCTTTCCTATATTCTTAAACCTGAGCATGATGTTGCCCCAGGCGCAAAACAACCCCCATGGCACTTACGCACAAATAAAAAGGGGGGATTTTTACAGCTTAGACAAAGTCCCCCAGTACCTGCGGTGTCATCAAATTCTGCCCACAGACAAACTTCACAAAGAAGAGATGACATGACAATGTTTTAACCCTTCCATTACTGCCATATATTTGCTGCCACCATGCTTAAAGGACCACTATAGGCTCCCAGACCACTTCAGCTCAATGAAGTGGTCTGGGTGCCAGGTCCATCTAGTTTTAACCCTGCAGCTGAAAACTGCTATGTTTCACTGAGAGTTAATCCAGACACGTGTGGCTGTCTCACTGACAGCCACTAGAGGTCGCTTCCACGATTCTCCCTGTGAAAATCACAGTGAGAAGACACTGGATGTCCATAGGAAAATATTGAGTAATGCTTTCCTATAAGCGGTTTGAATGCGTGCGTGGCTCTGGAGAAAGGTAAGTGGCTGAAGGGGGTTTTAACTCCTTCAGCCCAGAGGGTGGGGAGACATAATAATCCTATAGTGCCAGGAAAACGAGTTTGTTTCCCTGGCACTATAGTGGTCCTTTAATGGCTGCGGCATTTATTTTTGAAAATTGGTAATTCAGGCAAACGTTTACAAACAGGTGGGAGTTGTGGATGTATGGGCCTTAAAGGGACACTGTAGGCACTATAACAATTTTATTGAATTGGTTATAGTGCCTTGAATCCCCTGTTGCTTCAGTGTTAAACCATTTTCGAGCCGTTTAGCACTGAGTGAGGGTCCCTGTTTTCCTAATGCCCCCACTGGAGGTAGGGATATGGTAGAGATTACACACTTCCTTGACGTAATACTGATTCATACCTAAATATGTACTGTGATGGGCTGAAAACGGTCTGCTAACAGTCAATTTTAAGGTCTGTTGAAATTAGCAAAGCACACTGTTACATTATAAAGCTTAGAAGGACTCTTTGGGCATCAAACCAAGCAGTTTTCATGTATAGATCATGCCGCACAGTCTTACCGCTTAATTCTCTACCATTTAGGAGTTTTTGTTTGTTTGTGCAACTCTAGCTACACCTCTACTGACTGTGACTGACACAGCCTGCATGAAAAAAAAATTTTTCACGTTCACCAGATGTTTACTTGCTTTAGACGTTTTTATCTCCTGCTCTGGAAATTTAACTTTAATCACACAGAAGGCTCCTGCAGGCCTTATGCAGCTATTAACAGTGCAGAAGATAAGATATTCTAAATTAAACAGAATGTGCAATAAAGTTTAAACATTAGATGTTTCTTTACAGGAAGGGTCTAGGAAGGCTATGTAAGTCACGTGCAGGGAGGTGTGATAAATGTGTTTTGTGAGATCTTGGTAATAAAATAGAAATACACACAGCTATAGTTACTTATCTTGTCTCCATGTCAGTCATTGCTTAAATAACCAAAAATGACTGGCATCACAGAGGTAGGACGACAAATAAAAGGTGGAATTTAGTTAGAAAAAAAAGCTGACACTTTCTTTGAACAGTTTAATATATTTAAAAAAAATAAGACATTTTTCAGATCACTTTTGGTAAATTTACACTGATGGTTTTTCTTCCCTCGAGTGCAATAATATAAATTATAAATCCATAAGACTTATTTTAAAGAAAGTAGAGCATCTTTTGTGGTAGAAAAAAGCTAAAAAATGTGTTTTAGGTCAGTGGTTCGCAAACAATCCAGGATTTGTATATTTACCTTTTTTTATTAATAGTTGAGATGGTGACAAAACCTGGACTGTTGGTGGGTCGTGAAGACTGGTTTGGGATCCACTGTTTTAGGTGGTTTTCAAGTGTTCTACAGCGTCGCAATTTCCAGAGACATCACAGTTCTCCTCTTTAGATTGTCTTGAATTTGTGAACGTGGACACAGATCTGGAGATTTCATTGTGTATTCACCGACTGTAGCTGCAATCTTAGATTGCATGAAATAGTGAAATCCCAATGCATGGATTCAATTCAAGTTACATTTGTTAAATAATGAATGTTTTCTCAACAACGTGGGTGATTAAAGTTGAAACCTATGATAAGTGTGTTTCCTATTCTTGGCTAGGCTGGTGCGTAATACTTAAACAATAAATCAGGTAGGGCCACCAAAAATCTGAATAATCAATGTCAAACATTCATGTTCAGATGTTATGGAAAATGCAGGACATCTCTTCCAAAAACAAAATAGGGAATGACAGTGCTGACTCTGATGTTTAAATCCCTTTAACATAGAAATATAGAAACTGAATATAGAAAATGAATCTAGAAAATGTAGAGCCAAAAAAGCCAAAAAAAAAGGTTGAGACAAAATAATTAACAATTCAAGTAACAAATATATTGTAAAACCAGTAACGTCAAATGTTAAACAGAATAGCGAGACCAATATGAAATTAAAGGCTCATACACTGTGCCTAATAGCAATACAAAAAAAATAAACACAAAATAGGAAGTATTACTCTCAAAAAAGTATTTTAGAAGTATAAAAGTTCTTTGTTGTGGCAGAAAACTTTGGACAACAGTCTGGTTCATCTGTTCAAATTCTCACCATGGAGTATACAGGTGATACTCGAAAAATTAGAATATTGTGCATGTAAGGAAACCCAGTGTATTTAAACCTTATTCTGTAGTTTCCTCCCGAACCGCCAGAGCCTAGTGATTATAGCTCTCTGTTCGGTAGATCAGGTAGACGAATCCACTAGTAATTCCCACAGTTTCACAAGATGATTCCCTTAGTGAAACACACGAATCCCCAAACATCAGCCGAAGTCAAGAAGAAGGGTACAAAATGAACTGTCCTTTAATGGGTACACACAGCTTTTATGCAAGTCCCCATGCAAGGGGACAGCCCTCAGGGAGGGACAAGCATTAACCAATCACAGGCAGTAAAACTTTAACACACACCTACAATTCCCTCCCCTAGCCCAGGAGATAATTCAGTCTGTGTAGAATATTGCATATTCTATGTTTCTATTGATTATATATATGGATGTGTGGATTGACATAAGTAACAGATGGTATCAATAAGTCACAAGGCTTTCTTTGTCCGAGAGCTCTGGAATGTGGATGTTGACGTTAGTATTAGCACATCTTTATAGTAACAGAGGGACACGAGGTTGCGCGGTCTTGCCTCGTGGCTCTGAGCTCTCTCTTGGCTCTCTCTCTCTAGATGTAAGGATGCAAAAGAAGTCCAGCAATTACCATCTGCTGTTGAATGTCCATAATCCTGTAACATCCTTTATTATGTTTTATTATGTATCCGTAACAAAGAATAAACCTGAAGAAACCGTAAGTCAGATTGCGTATTACTACTTTTCAATAATATAGACATATATTATTGTGGCGAGCATTTGGCCCAAGACTATATATACAAAAGACGTATATATCTCAATCAACTGAAGACAAGAAGAAATTAAGAAGATTCAACATTAACACCATCTAAGCTACATTTTACATTGGCTAGCCAGCCAGTCTTCTATTCAAGGTTTGTTCCCACTTCAAGGGGGGAGACAGAAGAATCAAGTTACAAAGCTATTTTGGAACTGGGAAAACAAACTTGAAGAGAAAAAAAGAATCTAGACTGACTATTATAGAAGAACTGTGGTTTGTAAGAAAAAGAAAGTTTTCAAATCACAAAACCTGTACAAGACTATTTTCTACAACTGAGACAAAAAGCACAAGATACAACGTGAATTCTAGAAGCAAGCACGTGGCAGAGATTGGCAAGCGTCCAGTATCAAGCGTCCAGAACTGCGCAGCTGTGTGGATGAAGCAACAAATTAGACAGAAATAACTGATCTGGTAAAGCGTGACAGATCCATGTGGCAATAAATCAGGAAAGCATTCCTTTAGTCAACTGGACATCAACTGTTGGAAAGAGACTTTTCATCTGATCTGCAAACTGTGATGGAAGATTCTACAGAGTTAATTCGATACAGAAGATTAACAGACTTACAAAGAAATAAAAGATTGACACTAACATACATATCAATTCCTAAATATTAACGAAGAAGAAAACAGACAATGAAAAGTTATTTAACAGTTATGAGTATTAATACCAAGAGAGACTACTTATAACTGTATAACACATGGAGTAAAATTATGAAAGGATAGTATTATGAAGTGAACTATTACATTATTACCTATATACAGAATGAGAAGTATCAGAGGAAGATAAAATATGAAGTTGATAAAATAAGGATCATGGTTACTTAATACTACAAAGATTGAGTGCAATAGTATTTCATAGATTCACTAGAATAAATATTTTGTTTATAATCGAGGTGAAGTGAAACAAACAATGGTAACATAAGGAAGAAAACTAAGGAAGGATAATTTATATTGATTTATATGAAGTAATTATATACATTAAGAAGGCCTTGGATATAAGAGTTCAGAGATCCAAGAGGAATTGAATTGAATGGAAAGAGTATAGTACACAATTATATTTGACCTAAGTCTATAAAGGTATGGGCTAAGGAGAATAGGTTTCTGGATATGACGGTATCCAATGAATACGTTGTTATAAGTTGTTTTATGATTTCCCTGAGTTTGTTAGACACAGACTAGGAATAAGTTTCTGGGCAGTATGACCCCAAGTTTATTTTATTTTATTTTAGTCAGTTGAAGTGTACTAAGGAATACGGATTGGTCAGAACATTAGGACAATCCTGCTTTTAAGATGTATTACATTAATAAGTCATCACAATGCTAATGAAGAGTGTGATGCTAATGAATTTAAATTGTTCTTTCCAAGTTATTTTAAAGTAAACCATGTTTCTATTGAATTTAAAGTTTGTTACTACAAGGTGGAATTTTAGTCAAAATTATAATTATGTAAACAAAAACAAATCTATGATAGAAAGATTTCTGGGTGGAGAATTTCTAGGACAATAAGTATTGTCAACACCATGAACATTATTTGAAGAATTATTATAGAACTTCATGGTTGATAACACATCCTTTGAATGAGTCTTATAAGTAGTGTTGATATATTTCAGGTAGTGAGAGCCTACTGAACATTCAAATTAAATACTATGATTGTAAAGTACGGATACAATCATCACTAGGTGGTATTAATGGTATAGGAATGTAATTCATGAATACAAATGATAAAGATTTTAAGGTTGCTAGAAACCATATAAATTCATGGAAATATAATTGGACAGGATATTATAGTAATACATGTATTAGTATTTTAGTAATATCAGGTATTGAGAATGAAAATACTATACTATATATGTATCTGTAGGAATATGATTGTGATACACAGTTATTATTATTTCGAAAGTTATCATCTTGATTTTGTTGTCTACAAATATATGACTGTACCTGAGCAGGTAGATCTTTCTGATTGTTTTATTGTTTATTGGATCAACATTTGTAAATATTTTATTGTATTCATTTATTATTGTTATATATATGTAAATATTATGTTCAAGTAGTTATGATGTAACATGGATACGGATATAAATACATAGCTGAAACAAAGGGAGTTTTGAAGTAAAGTAAGCAGTATGAGGGATAGAAACTCAACCTTCCAAGAACTCTCATATAATAGAAAGTTGTGACTACATCTTGTTCTATGTTCAATGACTGTGATACGGGTGATGTATGAATGGACAGGTTAGTGACATTGTGTTATGGTTTTAAAACAAACCATAAACAGAGGCAATGTAGAATATTGCATATTCTATGTTCCTATTGATTATATATGGATGTGTGGATTGACATAAGTAACAGATGGTATCAATAAGTCACAAGGCTTTCTTTGTCTGAGAGCTCTGGAATGTGGATGTGGGGGTCTTGTCCTTATATGGCTAGAGTTAAATGCTGACGTTCGTATTAGCACATCTTTATAGTAACAGAGGGACACAAGGTCGCGCGGTCGTGGCTCGTGGCTCTGAGCTCTCTCTTGGCTCTCTCTCTCTAGATGTAAATATGTAAGGATGCAAAAGAAGTCCAGCAATTACCATCTGCTGTTGAATGTCCACTATCCTGTAACATAATTTATTATGTTTTATTATGTATCCGTAACAAAGAATAAACCTGAAGAAACCATAAGTCAGATTGCGTATTACTACTTTTCAATAATATAGACATATATTATTGTGGCGAGCATTTGGCCCAAGACTATATATACAAAAGACGTATATATAGCAATCAACTGAAGACAAGAAGAAATTAAGAAGATTCAACATTATCACCATTCTAAATTAGATTTTACAGTCTGATAGAATAGTAACTTAATTATCTCCGGGCTGAAAAATCACCTTTTTCCCCCAATATCTAGAACACCCCTTTATACTGGAGGTATCCCCA